ACCATTTACCTTATAAAAACGTATGCCTGACAAGTTATATAGATTCTGTATCATCTAACTGTTCGGGTGGGGTTACACATCTTAATATCTGTTGTTTACTTGAACAAAATTGGCGGTATCACACATTATGACGACGAATGTAAAAAGAAACGTCAAATGGTTATACCTTAGTCACAGTCTCTACAGCCTGGCATTGACGAAGGACAATGGCTGGAATAATCCTGGCGCCTTTGCGAGCTCCAACTAAAGAGCAGGCCATTGAAGCTATCGTATCAGCGTCCCCTCCACAACGAAGTGCTGCTTCCAGCGTCCGCATGAATGCGTTGTCCGACTGAAGTATTACATTACACAATAACGTTACTTCGGTCTCTGAAGCCCAACTTGTCCCTTACAATAATTACTATACCATTCCTTTTTCTCGTCTGTGTCTAACATTTTCTGAGTAACACCCTTTCTTGTTTACCCTTCCTAAGTCGTGATGTGTTCGATTGTAATGTAAAGGTTTTCGGTGTAATCAAATCAGCCGCAACTGGTACAAGTGAGCTAATCAGAATATCGATCAGACGCAGCACCTGCAATTTCCTGCCAGTTTCGCGTGTCCTGGAAGTGTTACATTTCGAGGTGATTGCAAAAACAGTACATACAGATTACCCTGGACGAGTTCGTAGCACCCTTTTCAGCGCATTTATTTAGCGAGTTGGTACTAATGCTTTACGCCGTGCACGTTATTCAGAAATGATAAATGACAAAGGATCTTGGAATCTAGCAAATGTTATTTTGTTTGCTTTGCGCAGCCTGTACGAGCTGCTAGAATGGCTCGTACGACCATTTGGAATTTTAGCTTCTATACTAAAGAATCTAATATATAGATAAACAGTGCAATTTTCGTAACTTCGAAAGTTGAGCAAACAGATTAAACATGCTAACCGTTCGATATTTCTCGTCGATATCTGTATTTATACGGTAAAACCTTGTAAGCAAAAGTTAACACTTTAATGAACGATAGTCTAGCACAAGGCGGCATTTGTAGATGAAAAGAATAGAGTAAAAAAAGATCAATAATTCACTTCCGACCAATTTAACTTTGTCACTAGACAAAGCCCTATTCTAAATAGTAAATGTTTACGTCAGTTACTGCCTTAGACATCTCTTAAACATGTCGACGAAGGCACTGGTAATGAAGCTATTTTTTAATAGAATTATTGTTGAGCACTGCGCACCTCTGGTAACTGATGCATCGACCCAGTGTTATGGATAGACGACGTAACAAAGTCGTTGTAATTTGCGTTGATTCGAACCTTGGAAGGTCATCGTCGTAACGATACGAAATTGTCTTCTTGGGTTTTACCAACCGAAGGCGGTTTACGTATCTCCGATGTAATAAAACTAGGTGGCGACAATCACCTACAGTCGACGGCGGACCGACATGTTATAGTTATGCTTCACGCAGGATTGACTAATATCATGTATTTTCGCTGAAATCAACTTGCCGTTCATTATCTCTGTGACCAGGTTGAAAATTTCACTTATTTGCGCCGAGATATGGGTGCTTACCTAAAAGTCTATTTTTTCCAAGTTGTCATGAATACGTCTTGAAGCACTTTTCTACGAAATTACATGAAGACGACTGATGGATCGTTGCAGGCGCTGTTTCAAAAAGGATTCAATGTTTCTGTGGGTGACAGTTCGTAAAAGCGATACAAAATCTAATGTCATTCACTTCAATCACCATGTTTTACCACGATCAGTGCAGCTACTGGGCTGCTCTTAGCGGAAACCTTCGGTCAACGAAAGGTCGAAGAGGGTAAAACGGCTATCAGGTAAGAAAGGTAGAACGCCAAAGATAAACGACGAGGAAAAGAATGCCACAGTAGCATAGTGGCAGAACGAGTGAGCAGCTATCCCAAGGAGCGGTTCGGGCCCATATGTCAAGTAAGATCTTATATACGAGATATTCAGAAATAGTTAGATTGCCCCCGGGGTAGAGATCGATTATTTTCTTACACAGCTTATAAGGACATGGAGACTTTCAAGTCTACCCCTTCAGACTCGGTAAAGCTCCGTTAGAAATATGAATCAATGCAATTTGGGTGTAGATGGCGATATAACACACACACTGCAATAATTTGCCCTTTTTATGAAGAAGCCAGACCAGCAGCAAAAATAAAGGCGGCAGCGAAAGGGACTCGCGGTTACGACCCCAGCGGTAGCGCCACTCCGGATGTGTCAGAAGGCGACATAAAGCGATTCATACATTTCGTATGCGGCTGGGGATCACCTTGACCATGGATGCAGAAGTCGTGGGAGAGAAACGATGGCCGGGAAGACTGAGGAGAGCCAAACTTGGTACGGAGCAGGCAAACAATGTCGCTACAAATCCAAGTTCGCAGGCTGTTCGGAGAAAAACATCGAGAGAGTAACTCTGGCCAGCTAATTCGGTAAATATTTGAGATAGTTCCCATCGGCCCTTAGTACTGTTAATAAAGATTCGGGTCTAAATGAGGAAGTGAAGCTTGGGCGGAAAAACGATTTTAGTAGGTGCAAATCCTGCAATATTAGTTCTGCATGGCTGCGTAAGCCATTTGAGCCCCTAACCTTTAAAACCTTGGTTTGCGATCTTTTGCAGACGCTCGATTAAACGTCAATGAACTTTTACTGTTGTAATAGTATTTTTTTTTAATTTTTGCTTTTTTTTGAATCGTAACGCATAACGGTTTCCCAAGCCAAAAAATTTGACAATCCTGATATTATTATGATATTACGGAAATTTTAATACGCAACAGTATTTTTGACATACAGCTATTATTGTCTGATAGTCGTCTTTGGATACTTCAACGAGATTGCTGTTCAAAGGGGGGGGGGGGGGGGGTACTAATACTTGTTAAAAAGACCTTTAAATACTGCATTCTTGACTGTGATACCCGCATCCAATAGTGTTGATGGCCTGTTGTGGACTTATAAGATCAAAAAGTTCTCAGATTTATTCAACCGGACGTAAGATATTATTGAACCTGAACTTATATGTGGGCACATCAACCTCTCTAACATCGGTTGGTTATCGACAGCGGTCAGTGACAACTCTTCTCCAAATCCACCTTTGTAAATCTTTGTGTACCCAATAAACTTTTCCAGGTTGTTGAAATCATAACCTACCCGGTCAAGTTTGACGCTGAAGCCATTACCAGGAAAGGCGGAATAATCCTCAATTTTGTATTCATATCAGTTCCTGTATTATTGACAATTCGTCTGTGATTGACTCATCCGTTCACTGCACTTACTACAGCGTTTCATTTGAAGTAGTCGCCGAACTAGTGGAGCCTTCTGAGGTCAAACAGTGCCTAAATTTCCTCGAGAACTTAAAGAACTTCCAACCAAATGTAGTTAAATCCTGAAAGGAATTCCCCTGTCTTCCCTAAAAACATTGTATACCCTCTTATCGAGCCCCTATGCATAATAATGACGCGAACCTGCAAGAAGCGACTTGTTTTCAATTTTTCAATGTTCCAATAGTTACATCAGTCCATGAAGAAAATGTAAACCTGAACGGAAAAATATTATCCAGCAGGTCAAGGGTCAATAGCCTGCTTAGTTTAAGAAAAAACGGTAATTGACTATATTGTTGTTTACTTAGCTTCAAGACTGCCTCCTGGCGCTCATCAACGTGGATTTGCCAAGGACAGATTTACGATCACAGGGCTTCGTACAATGACCCAAGATTGGGAATTATTTTAAAGCCACCAGATAAAATTTGACGGCATCTACTTTAACTTTTCTAAGGTTTTTGGCCAAGTTAATTAAGAGTTATTACTTGTAAAGCTTATTAAAACGGAGAAGCAGATCCCTGCCCCATACAATCGATTGGAAGCTATCTGACAAATCAAATTTTTCATGTTAATATTAATTGCATTCACAAATTTCAGAGGAGTATGCCTCTTGGATGGACCTCAAGGTTTTTACACGGGCTTTATGCTTATGGTTTGAAACTCGAATAGGTGGCCTTTTTACTAGAGCTGGCGCGCTTGTTACTTCAGTCGACAGTCGATGTCGTATCTGCGTGTGACGCACCAGTGGTACGATCATCTCTACCAAAAGTGCATGCTCTCGTAAGCAAACTAACAAACACACTTTCAAGTGTGTGATCATTCCTCTAATGAGATCGGTAAAATACAATGACATAGGAACTTAACTTTAGCGTTCATCACCGTTAGTCTTATTTTTTTTAGACACTCTGCAATAGGAAGCTGCATATTTAATATTAATATTCGAACAGTCACATAATTCCCAAATTTCTATATCATTTCGCTGTTTAAAATTTTCATATAAAATATATTGACACCATTAAATGAATGCGGAATCGGTCTGTTCGTTGAGCTACCTTCAGATACGGCATAAATTTAAGAAGTCTTTGAGTTTCGTGCTACTTGTTAGTATGTTTCGAGTTTTACGACCGGTATCGCCATTTGTCATTTTATTAGATGGCTGACCCCCAGACATGAAATGAGGTCAGTCTATGACCGGCTTTCGGACTTCGATCACCAAGTATTCCTAAAATTAGCAAACAAATACGTTATCCACTAAGCTATCACGGGACTATCGTCTACCAAACACCTACTTTGCCAACAAAACCGACGGGAGGATCGATGTAGACATTTCTACCACCGTAGTTGATGTCACCAACATCCTTTAGAGCAGTGGGATTTGTTAGTGCACGGTTCATTTTTTCAACTATTTACCCGACAGCTTTCTGCTGACGTTGCCAGCCTCGAAAAACTGGTTTATACGGCTGTTCTCGGAAGGGTCAGCCAGTTTGGAGTGCCACGAGGGAGCTGCTGTAAAGGAATGTACGAAGTGGAGATACGGAACGCAAATTTCTAACTTTGTTATTATACGTTGGATGTCGAAAACGTGTTCTATCGAGCTAGCTTCTTATTTTCTGTATTAGAGTTTTGTTTCTTGCTTTCCCTGGCTTTCTCGCTTGACTACAGGCATGGAGAGTGACCGGCCAATAGGCACTGCACAAAAGGAAAAATAGCCGAAATAGAAATTCGAATTACGGAGTGGCGGTAACCCGGAGAGGGTCCAGTTTGCGACTGGTAAGACACATACCATCGGTTACCGCAATCGCATTGCTTTGCTATTTTAAGACGTTTTTTGAATTTCTCCTTTTTCGTACGCACTTCTACGCGAAGACAACACTGAAGCCCACCCGCGATTTCAGCTTTCTTCGAGGTTTCTACATGCTATCACATATGTCTCGCCTGCTCAGATTCGCACTAGAATTGAAAATAGATATAGAAACTACATAAAATACAGAGCGCGCATTGAAGAGGAACCATATACATCGAACATGTTAATCACAACGCACTACGCACAGGCAAAAGAAGATTCAAACAGCTGACGATAGCTTACGGAGCGACGAGCTAGTAACTAAGGAAAAATAAACGTGGAACTTGTATCAAAGATAATCGTCTGTTAGAAAGTTAAGAAAGAAAAGTAACTATTTTCAAACTGTATAGCATAGTCTCGGTAACAATATCTGTCTCATTTCACTGGATCCCCCTTGTCAAAGCCGGCTCTGTACTCGTTGTACAAAGTAAATCGAGGATTTTTCTGAACCTAAGCGGTACGGTTACCCCGAGTAGATATCGGCTACGCTATCCACACAGTTGTACGCACCGGTTAAACGCTCGTCAGATCATTCTGATCTCAGAAACAGCTCGCATCGATGCTACGTCGCGCGTCGTCGTAGCGAACCGATGTTTTACTAGAGGAAACAGTGCATGGGCTGTTTGTGTCGGAAATAATAGACTAGTAGTTAGATTTAATAATAGGGTTAAACTATTTCTGTCACGTAATTGGATTGGTACTTCGTGCGTTCATGTCTGACCTGTACCACTCTTGTCAACGTAAAAGTTGTAACTAATCTTGCCAGCAGGACCATTTGCCGACAAACCCTCTGGCGACCACCTTGAAAGCGTTTATCAAAAAAAATGAGACACAGATAAATATAACATGTAAAGCCTGAATAGGTAACGCCAACAAGAAATTAACTGATACCACCACTCTGCGTATAAGCATTTTAATTAGGCAAAAAGCACTGTCTAATAGAGTTGAGCGGACATTCAACATATACAAACGCATGAAGACTAAGACTAGTCGGTGTTGAATGAATCTTGCTCTAATGTTATAACCTCGTATGGTCTCGATTGTAATAGGTCTCTATATAAGGGTTCAGGAACCAGCGAAGTAATGAACGAGCAGAACTAATGGTGACTATTTACATTGTTGAGGCATACTCAAAGGCTGCCTAGGCCTATGCCCATAAGCATCAATTAATCCACTGAACTTTGTTTATCCTAGTGGTATACCCTGAAACGGCTTTCAACTCCTAGGGAAGATTAGTTTGCAATGGAGAGATACGAATATGTCACACTCGCCTCATCAGAGAATTATAGGTCTCTTACGTTTTAACCGGAATTCAATATTGTTTTGTTAGTTAGTATCTTTCTGTTTACCTCCAACCACTGTGATTAATCAGCATAGGCCAACGCATATATATCCATTCATGGACTTATGACAACTGAAGCAGATTTGTTCAGCCCATTATAAGCACAAAGTGAATTTTTAGCTGATATATGTATGTATATGTAAGAGACACACCTCATCGACACGTGTGGCCTTCACAAGACAGGCTTAACGAGCTATGTCCATGACTGCGGTCACGTATTAAGTCATATGGTCTTTTAAGAGCCTACGTGTAGTTCTCGGAGAAGGCAATTTTAGAAGACTTAACCTTTGTATTTTACGTCCGGTATCGCGGTGAAGCATTTCATTTTGGATGCTAGCATAACTCTATTATCATGACAATGTACCTGTAGACAAATCAAATCATACGGTGTCCCCTATAGAACATGACCTATCTTTTATGTACGAAATAGCACATACTTCCCTTTCCCCCATTTAAACATGTATCTACTTAACTAAGACATGTCTAACTAGAAGATAAAACCAGCAGAATTATCTTTTTGCACAAAAAAAATGTATAAAAGAACCAAGTGTGGTTTTTACTATGATTCGATTTCTCACTGCGCCAGGCTACGTTAGGAAATCTTATCCAAGATCGGCATACGCAATAAAAACATGTCTATAGGTATTGGGGGGCATGTCAGTATGTTTGTGTCAGTTTACGTCAAGTACTTGTGTTGGAAGCAAAGAGCTTATTCGTGTTAAACATTAGCTGGACAAACCTTGTTGATAAGTTTGAAATTGGCATTCTCCTGGCAGCCGAAGATGTAACACGCGAGAGCAGTCACTACAGACCCCTGGGCAGTCATATCATTTCCTAGAAGACGCACCAGATCAGCTGATTCAACCGGTGGATGCTCTGGAAAAGCCGCATCGAGCAGCAGCTTTCTAGCTGCGTGCAGCTTGTATGTTAGAGGACTGCCTCAGCAATTAAAAGAATTCTAAACGTTAGTCCTATACATAACTGCAGAAAATGTTTAGATAAACGTATTAAGTAAGAATGGAAAATATATGCATATAAAAGAGACACCCTTGAAATCCGACAATTTTTTTTAGCCACATCGTTTGTTAGAGCTATGTATTTGCGATGTATTTTCGATTGTCACATTATTTTCCTTTTAAACAGATATAAAAAAAAATAAATTCTTTAATACAAAGTTACATATCGAAGTATATAAATCTCGTTGTCTTGTGGTAGTTAGCTGACCCACAAAGTTTTATGAACTATTCTATGTATCTCATCGCATGTCTGAAAGAAAGCCCAAGCCTCAAAAGTCTAAAATATTCAGCAAATAAAAAAAAATGGTTAATATTTCTAATAGAGTTCTTAAAACCAACCGGAAACCGTCGAGTTCCTCTTCGATCTCTTCCATCCGTTCTATCAATTGATCAAATAGGACCACTCCATCAAAAAAGGCCCCGTTTGAATTTTCTGCAAGTAGCGCATCTCTCAAAGCTAGCGCGTGCAGGACGGCAGCACAAATACCGGTAGGATGCGCGTGAGTCATTTTCGCCTGAAGGATTGTCGTCTACAGGAAAACAAGTTTAAGGTGTGACAGCCGACGCAGTCACGTCTGTGCCATTATGTAACATCTATGATTTCTTTCACGCCAGTATCTTAACCTAAAAGGCGCCGTATGCCGCTAGTGTCGACCAATACATTTAAATCGATATACGCACAAGTGTGTTATAGATATCATATTCAAAGTAAACATAGAGAAATGCGACAGATCCGGATTCCAGCTGCTGCTGTACGTTTTTCGTCGTGAGTGTCTCGGAGAACATCTACTTGTTCGCGGGGGTCCCGTTTGAAACACGGGATAGAGTCTTGCCAGAGAAAACGGGCGCTCTCGCAAGGACCGAAGTCTCGTAGCTTGACTAAATTTCAACATAAGAAAATATTACTCTCTTTGCTAACCACGCCACGACGACACTGAAAGTGTGCCTACTTGAGCGAAACTTGTAACAGGGTAATCATTGAATAGTATTTTGCTACCAAGAAAACCTTGCGTCTACGATTGATTTCTTATGTAATGCAGTTTGAAGAAGCTGAATCGGTCTCGCCGGCAATATATCGCTGAAAGCTAAGTTTTAAGATCCATACTTAGGAATCACTTGTGGAAGCGCTTAACGGTTGCTAAAAATACTCCTCTTTTACGCCTGTGTTTTATAAGATCTCTTTTTCAGTGTTCATGCCCAACTATATACTTTTGTATAGAAGAATGAGAAAGGATAACATTATATATTTGTCAAAATGTTTTCACAGCTACCTCAATCATAGCATCGAGGTCGTCTTTAAGGAATATGGCCACTGGAGCGGTTCGCATGGCAGCTCCGCTCCCAAAACTGCCCATTCCGCCAAACTGTTGCCTAGCTGGTCCATATAATCGTTCGTCTCCATGAACTCCATCGTGTTTCCATTTTCGAAAGACATCTCGTACGGCGTCACCATACTCAGAGTCAAGTGACTCATTTTCGAAGTACTCATTCGTCAATCTGTAACCAGATAGTGTAAAGTCGATAGATAGGTCGATAAGAGTAATGATATACCTTTTCTTAATTAATCTATTTTATTAAAATAGGACTGAATCCAGCATATGGAGACAAAAAAGCGTGCGCTTAAGAGTAAACAACGCAAAAAGTTATTTCTCTACCCACAAAAATTACAAAACATTTTGGCAAAACTCATAATGTTTCAAAATATACTCCATGGCAAGCATCCCTACAAATCTATCATCAGAGCGCAGAGAAATGTACAGAACTGACTAACGCAGAAGTAACAAAATCAGGTAATGCTACCCAACGCGTCTTGTTGGTACTATACAAAGTTTTTTTGTTTAAAGACGAGAAACTACAAATGAAATAACACACATCGCGTCTTACGTTTAAGATACAAATTTGCCTCTGTTGCTCGGCCCTACGTCCATTGAAGATCATGCGGCTAGAGTTTACGTGCATTTAGATTTAGTCACATTAAAATGAAGGCGTATTATACTGATCAGTTAAAAGTCTAGTTGTAGTAAAGATTTTTCTCTGATTATTCCTTCTGCTAAGTTTGAGCGCCCTGCATAGCGAACTCTTCTTACCTGAATAGCTAGTTGACCTACAATTGTACCTGAGTCTGTGCTGCAAGGCTGCAAGCGTTATTGCTATATTAACAGGATATTTACTAAAATCTGAACACCTATATCTATATGTATTACCCAACACTGAAGGTCACCGCTGTACACCCGCCACGGGACTGACCTGATCTGTTTTTTTTTTTGAATAACGTCTATTGTTAGGGCAAGTCTTATTTTTCTAATATTTTCATCAGTTTCGTTAGAATGTTCCTCTCATTCTCTAAGCAATGCCAGCGGCCATAAATAAATACCATACATAAAATCGACGAGACCGTAAGTGCCTTCCATCAGGCTTGCCTAGATCGCTCCCTCTCGACGCTCGTTTATGCCTTCTATTAACATAGAAAGAAATCGCACCAGACTTGTTGCGCAGCAGGGTCGCAGGTAAAGCTGCAGGCGTTCTATTGAATGACCGCCGCGCTACAAATGGATAGAGGTTACGTCGTCCAGGAGAGAACAGTGGCAGGCGAACGAATAGGCAAATTTTTGCTCATACCCGCTCTGTAGTAACATTTCGTTGTATTCCAATATACCTTTTTAATGGGATATATAACTTGGCACTAATGTAGCTGCAACGCCGGCTGTTGTCCTATGGCGCCTTGAGCGATACGGCATCCGCTACTTGAACATGAAGCGCTTCTCTAGTAGCTAAGCCAATAGCTTATGGCCTTGGAGGCGAATGATGCAAAGGCACACCCAACGGGTGTGAGAGGCAAGTCCAGAGTAGATCTGGTTATTCACGGCTAAAGCTAGTTTACCTACACATGCGTGGATTTGGATGGAAGTCGAAGGGAGAAGAAGGATGAAGGGGGTGCATATGCACTATGATCGATTATAGTTGTAGTACAAGGAGACGTATCGTACTTCGACAACTCTTCACGTCAGTACCATCACGAAACTGCGCAGAAGTACAGTTACGTTGAGTGTAATATGTGAGTGGTGATGCTGACTGTCGTCACACGATCTTCTACCAATGACATATGCTGACACGCGATATATTTCAACTAAATGTACACCTTCCTGCCCACCCATAGATAATGGCCTTAAACTTCATTTTAAGGGGGAGGTTCGCAAAAGCAATAAACACATCTTCTCATAGATGGTGCATGTTCATTAAAACTGCAATTAGGTCTAGTATGTCGACAAACGGTTATAAAAAAAAAGAACAGCAATATGGTCAAATTACACAGCCAGTGGAGTATTTAGCCCAACATACAACAGCGCTAGATAAAAATGGATACAAGTATTGAAATTCTAATAATAGATTGTACAGGCAAGTCTATCTCTTCCAGGTCATAGTACGATGACGGGATTATGGGAAGTACAATGGATCCTGAGAGTTTTAAAGGTTACGCGCAGAGTCTGTAATAAGTTAAAAGCTCTTTGGAAACATGCGCGTTTAGTTGAAACATCCCACTCCCAACCCACGGCGTCTTAGTCTGATATAGACTTTCTAACATCCACACTAGTACTACACCACCTGGCAAATTAAAGCCTGTTGACTAGATAGCATCCAGATTAGCTGCTTCTATAATCGCTTCTTCAATAACGAGAGCATATTATAACTCAAGACTGAAATAACGCGGTACATCTAGCAAAAGTGCTCAGCAATGACTTTTGTGGTTAAAGCTGTAGACCATTCAAAACGGCTTGTCGAATGGCTTTGTTAACAATGTATAGACACCGAAGTACGGATTCAACATAGACGATCGTCGTATGGCTACTTAAGCCGAGAAAAAACCCGTCAGTAAAAACCGGTCCAGTTTACTCTAGGAGAGATGAGGTCAAGGAGAGAAACATCTTCAAGTTCTGAGAATCGATACCCAGTAGTTAAGTTTTTGTCCCTCGAAAATCACAACGTTTCGGAAATCGATCAAAGATTGGTGAAAACATTAGGCAAGGCGACTTTAAGCAAAAGCATAAAACAGGGATGGTGTGTAAACGTTCCCAGAACAAAAATAAAAGTGTTATATATTAGCAAAAACGTGACCATATATCGGGTCCCGAAAAGCAAGAACGCATTGCACCAATTGAGGAGGCTCTCCGTGAATACAAAGCGTGGGGTTTAAGAGCTTTGTCGGCCAAAATTCATATTTCACAGGTGACAAAATTATAACCAAAATACTGAAAATGTGGAGATTGAGCTAAAATGGTCCTTCATACATTGACTCCAAGTTATGCGGGTGATGTGCTTTCATCACCAAAAAAACCTGCCTAGAGCCTAAGGCCGCCATACAACGGTTTGGCAACAATTGGCGGTTCAGCCAATACCGCCAGCTGGAAAGGGATCACGTAAGAGAATGGCGTCGTCTGCGAAAGAAATCGAGTTCGTTGGTGGTGTCAAGTAGGTTTGATGACAGGTGATCGTAGTGCTTGTACTGGACATCGTGGGCATCTCCTACCACCAGGGATACTTGCCAGAGCAATGAATGCAACCCGCGATCCTTGGCAGACATATAATCCGGCGGCACGGCAGTCGAAGGCACTACCCTGACAGCAACGCCAAACCTCACTGCAATGTTTCTTGGCTTGAGCAAGTAATATCCGCCGCTGGTTTTAATCGCCTTATTCTGTCGATTCAAGTCCATGTGATCAGAGGGCTCTCCATGCCCTAAGAAGGTCAGCTGATGGGCAGCAATATGCTACTATAGATTTGTTTCGAAAAACCATAGATAAAGAAATTACGTATAGGAACGAAAATGGCCGGTATATCGCTGTTCGGAAGTTGTCAGAGCACTGAGACAAGTGTATCAGGAAAAAGGGTAGTACCATTAACTAATAGTAAAAAATCACCATTATAGCCCAACTAGCTCAAGAATTATTCAGTGTCAGAGTTTGCCAGATTCGCTTATAACAGCCCAATGTATAAATTTTACTTCAATGTATTGCAGGGTCATAGTGCTGTAGAAGTTAGTAGCTGTTTCTGGAATAATAGTAGATTTCTCTCAAATAGGCTTGCGATGCGGGAATTTCGGTTTTCTCTACAAAGTTAAAAAATCTCAGTAACAATACTTCTGTGGTACTCGTCACATGGAAGCTTTATAGACTTCATAGAGAATATATCTAATACGAATGTATTTTTATCCAAAACCTAATTATATAAGGGAGTTTCTCCTAAGTCAGACATGCTTTAAGCACCTTGCCTATCGGAAGTAGTAAATGATGTTTAGTATATAGGGGAGTTCGTTAGTCTTCTGATCTACTACGGCGTAGGTCGTCATGCGATTATCGGAACATCTCTTCAGCTCGTTGCACCCGAGCTAAAATTCTTCTGCAAATCTAGCTTTAGGTAATGAATACCGTAAGTAGACTTTAGCTAACAGAAGCCAATTGAGATCACCGTTACGCTCGAAACAAATAGGCAGGGGCTAGTTTGTCTTGGACGTTGTAATCTACTCAATCTGCCGACGGCGCCGCCTTCGCTATACGTAAATTCTTTCTACCAAATATTTTGGTTGGATGCTCCAACCCCTACGATGCATGAGCATACCCACCGTTCGGTCCCAATGAACTTTACTACATATGCTGAGCTTGTCTAACTTGTTACCTCCATAAACCCGCGCACTCATCAATTTGCCGAGCTGGCAACGCCCTGTGTAACATAATAATTGCCTCATCATCCCTGCGTGCTATGTCTAGCAGCTCACAGACTCATCTAACAAGCTCAGAGCAAGCAAGACTAACAACCACAGGGAATGGTGTCTACTGAAGTGATAAAGCCTGTGAGTAATGCGAATGGCGCAATATTCTAACGATCCAGCGGAGGGCCCTAGCCGAAGAGGGTAAGATTTGCTGTCCTTTCAAACACGCACACAAGAAGTCGAGAAGGACAACCGCCCTTCGTATAAGCGACACAGTATAAGCTATAGGTTGGCCTGCTTTCGACTTGCCTTGTAGCGATGTCGGCAGGCTCGAAGCGTCGTTTTCGGATGAGACTTTTAGCGAGACAGAGGGTAGTGGCGGTTACGTCCGTGTAACAGTAGTAGCCACGTCCGGAGCCGCCTGAAATAATAAGGATATAATAACCTCCTTTCTTTGCACAGATTGGCGAGACCCGAATCAGCGGCCTCTCGGTCTCTCTCTGCCTGGAATAATCGATCGACGCAAATTTCGCATTGCAGCACCAAATAGGTAAGCTGTTTAAATGAGTCGTCGTTGTTACTGGTAACAGCCTGGCTTAAATGGATCAATAACTACTCTTCCTTTGTAAGAAATCCGTATATGAATTTTGTCTTAATCCAAAATCGCGGGTCAATTGCGTTTCTAGAACATGCTTCTCTATCTAGTGAGAGAAGCCTTCTATGTGAAACTACCCTGATGCAGGTTTATTTACTTGCTAAAGTGTTCTGTTTGCTTAGTGCTGCTTTTATTATGATGTCCTAACCAGGATATGCAAGTAATATGTGCGCAAGACGAACGATTGTCACAGCTGAGGTTTTGTTCAGGTAATTCAGCGGTGAACGGCGGTCCTCAATGGGCATTGCCGTTCATAATGTATTGCTTCCTGAGTTCTATCACTAATTATTTACAAATAGGCATTTCTCGAAAGGTTTCCTCCTACATTAGAGACCTACAGAATAATCGTTATTTAAACGCTATAATTAACAACTGATACGACTTTAGCTCAGCGTCTCAGATTCGCCTGAGACGGTTAAAATAAATGTCCTGATCTGAAGTACAATGTAAATAATGTGTAGCGTTCACCTTGGAATTACTAATAGGATCGGCGGATTACGCTGTCCGATCGTAAGCGGTGGTGATATTTGCCTGTTCCTCCAAACTAGTCCCACCGGATCAGGAAGTAATAAACAAAGACATACGAAAATCGCAAACTATAAACAATAATTAGTTCTATATACAATATGTAGTAGAAACACAAATTTCTAATCATGACCATCGTGCATTTTATTCTTTAAACAATGGAACATCATTTGATTTCTTCGGTACTAGTATTTTATTTCCTGAGTCGATCGGGTCTTTAGGTTATCTCTAGGGATGCAATCAACTTGGAAAAGGTGTGGTCGGATGATTCGAGAAAAGTAGACACAATTTTCAAATCGGAAACAGCAGACTATCATGGGCTACTTTTACTTTAATTGCTGCATCCACAGAGTACAAAAGTTTTTAGCTACATCTGTATCTATAACATGAACACTTACAAACATATATATCTATTGGTCCGATGTATCTTCGATATAGGCCATGTGTAGATGTATTTCAAATGATATATAAAGTATGACACGTATTATTAAATAAAAAAAAAAACACATTAGCTAGATACATGAGAGTATCGAAAACCTATTTCCTGTCCAGTCGACTTTTATGTCGGCAAAATGCTTTTACCGCTAGCAGACAACATTAAATGTATCCGAACCCAGCGATGTTGTGTGACTATTTCGGTAGTCGCTCGATAAAGACTTGGAGCAAGGAAACGAGTTACCGCGTAGACGTCACTGGAATGACGTATTTGCGCAAAAGGCTGTTGGCGCTTTGAGTACGATTATTCCAAATGCGGTTTAGCGTGTCATCTGATTTCCATCCGCTGTTAAAACGGGTCACTTAAAGCTTATCAATCTAACGTAGGAGCTGCATTGGTATATCACAAAGCCATAGTGTAAGAAACAGTTACTCTTATCTAATAATAAAGAAATCTAATAGCTAACGCTACGATATACTCGTTGACGTTTCGCAGATAGTGATTAACTGCACCAACCTAAAATACGTCTGTAATATCAATAATAAAAAAACCATCAAATAATTGAGAGCTCTAAAGCTGTCCTTATGGCTGGTGTTTTTCAAATCTATTAGCTTCAATAAAAGATCAAGGACGTGATAACCTGCTCAGACAATGATTTCGTGTCTCAAAAACGCAAGAAGCTATTTCTGTTGAGTTCTTCAACGTTGCAGAGAGAGACTGACGAAGCTTCGACGAGCTACTATTGACGGTAGCCATGATCCAACGATGCTGACACTTAATCAATAAGGATTGAAGCTCTTTTCCGGAACACAATGCGTAGCAAAGACGAAAAAGGTTCGTTCAAAAGAGCAAAGGAAGTACGGTGATTGGTGAAAGACCGTAGCCTTTGCTGTTAACAATGGAGAACGCGCAGCCTTCTTCCCGGAAATGATCGAAGGCTTTAGGTCTTAGTTCCGGTTCCCTCATTTTCGTTATAGTGGTGCCCTTATGTTTCTTTGCCACTGCATTACTCTGCACCCGCGTGCTGACGTCTACCGACTTGGTAATCTGTGTTTATGATACGACTAAAAAAAACGCACCTTTAGTGGCTCTGTGATTTCTTCCGGCCGATGGACCGGGCAAAACGCTGTTTGTTCGGATGTTGTTGAGGTACGTCGTTACGTCATAATCGAATGAATCATCTGCCCCGTGTGAATCATCGAAGTTCGAGTCGAATGGAGCACCGAGACAATCCCCAACAAGGACGCCTTGCAAACACCCGACATACTTATCGATGTATTTCGCCTCGCGGTCGTCCTTAACCAAGCCTACCTGAGAACGATGATGATTCAGTTGTTTAGTATTGCTTAATTTTAAACGGTGCTAAAAAAAAAAACCAAAAACTATGAAAATCAATAAAAAATAGTATTTTCTTGATCGTCTTTTTATTTAGCTATTTGTCTAGTAGAGAGAAGTAGGTAAACAAATTACCAAATAAAAACAACTGACCTTAATAGAGCTGCCTTTGTGTAGGTTCTTCAAACTAGAGTAGAGAATGACTCTAAGAACTATACTAGTTAATTGCATCTCAAACAGTTTGTGCTCGCAAGTGAAATTGTTCCATTTTGAAGTCGAGAGCGAATTAAAGATGGCAGTCATCCTCTATGTGGAAATAGATAAAGTCAAGGTTTCACCTATGAGTTGAATTCATAAATGCTATAAACTGATATGCATTGATAGATTTGTTTTGCACTTGGCGCAGATATCCACAAAAGCTTAATTACCTTGACAGTGCATCTATATACGTTGTACCCTATCAGAACTGGCCATAAGGCAAGAAGACATTGACGTTGTGTCAAACAGGTTGAGATTCTGCAAGTCATTCAAGCTATTCAGGGGAATAGGTCGGCTTTTTTCAACACTCAAATCTTCGTTCACTTTAAATCAAATGAGGAAAATATTTTGTATAAAAGAGATCTTTATGCCAAAAATTATAGTGGTCATTCTGTTTCTATACCATATACGACGTAACGGCGTATGGTATTGTGGGAACCAATGATACAATTCCAGCCGTATTTATATGATGCACGATTGTACCCAGATACATTTTTTACACTCTCATAGGTTAAACCCCTGTCTCACAGATATATTCTACCCACTAATGAATTCAATGATATTTAGTTGTTTATATGGTCTAAACAAATATAGATCAGAATTTCCAAGTATACCCAAAGTTGCATCTTTTTGGGCACGATTCTAGCTATTAAGAAATTTCCTCCAGTGCATAGCCAGCCACCATAGCGGAGGTTGGAAGGCTGTGTCATTCAAACGTCGCTTGTCTTAATAGTTACTGTATGCACAGATAAAAGTGTAGCAAACTACAACCACTCAATTTTTGATCCTGGCAAAAGTGAGGACAGCGGCTTTTCGCTGAACCCGCTCAGTTTCTAGAAATAGAATGAGTAACTTCAATGTTCCTACTTTCAGGTTAATTTGTCTACAGACAATCATCAAGCGAGAAGCCTACGTCGGACACCTTATCCGTTCGTTACCATTGCTAGAAGCGCACATTTTTGGCAGTCGTATTCAATTTCGAGCGGTCTACTCTGTCAATCGGGAAATCACTAGAAGACTACGGCTGAGAATAGGATCTAGTGTCGTATGATCAGACACTTGCGAGTTAAACAAGCATATTGGATACAAGAAAGCACAGAAATGAACCGATTTGCCAATGGATAGAAGCGACACGTAACGACAGCACCGCTTAGATGTTATACTTTGAAATGTTTTGCACCCAACAATTTTCCATCATAGAATAAGTTTCTAGTCGCGCTTCCTATCACTCACCCTTCTCCTGGGAATCTCCATCGTCTCGATGATACTTCGTCGATGAGGGATTTCTTCCGCATTTCTTGAGTAGTCTACTCTTATGAGAAGGATGCACTTTTCGCGTAGCCTCTGTAGAACCCTTTCAAGTCAATCATTATTAAATCATCCTGCTAGTTTAAAAAAGCCGTAAAAGCTGACCGTGACAAAATGTCGGTAGCTGATAGGGTTAGTCCTTGCCTTCAACACTGGAGCATCGAAACCGTCAAAAAGACGCTTCCCGGTTTATTAAAGCGCTGTCAAACGTCGACAACGCCGGTTCCAGTTGATTCAGCAAACTGGGCTATTACACTGCCTAAACTGAGTTGTGTAGTTTTTGCTTCGGAGCATTGAGCATTAGACACTAGCGACGTTGAGCCACGGTTCTACAACAAAACCGTACCATAATTTGTGCAAAGAAACTGAAACCATACTGTGCTCATGATTCGAGCGTCGATTGTATTTAGGTATCCATCCTCTCTTGTGGTATCGCTAGGTCACGATACGGTATGTATTTTCTTTGAATGATTCGCTATTTCTCTTTACGTGGACATATGTATCTCTATGTCGCTTGAGCGACTGCTCGCCAACTTGCCAAGAAAAGAAACGCCGTCATCACTAAAACAAGCGAGCGATAAAGATCGTCAAAGAGAGTGGAGTGAACGGCGGCTGTCGTAGGTTCGTCATAGGTATACGCAGAACAAATAAGTACTTAAAGCGAAATGATTACCTATTGCTCCTTTGTCACATTTGAACAATCGTCGTTTTCGCGGCACCATTTCAACGTGTCATTTCATCATTTGCTAACTAGTTGACAATTGGTTCCAATGTTGGCAGTTTGTTGCTTCCGATGGCCGTTCGCTAGTAAACCCTATGAAATTATATGAATATACCATGTTATAACGGCGTTAAGATACATCCACCAGTTTCGTTCCCTCGTCTTGTTATTGTTATTATCGACATCTCATCGTAGGTCCGTGTCGCTGAATAGTGGAAACCACCGGCCTTCGTAATCGGTCACACACACACCCATGGTGTCGCGGAATCTCCAGCCTGACGATCTATCTACAAGAGTAGGTAGATTAGTGAGAGGCCACCACATAATGTTAGGCATAGCACAGGCTAGATACCTAATGGCGGCAAGCCATATACGGAGGCGATGGACGACGTGACTCGTTGCGCAGCTGTACAGAGTTACGGGGGAAAGAGTCCACAGGGAATAGCAGATTGGTTGCCTATCCACCTTCGATAGAGGTATCGTAATCTACCTACAAGCGATACGTTCAATCCAACCACACGTCGACTCATGCGTTTCATTTCAAGCAGCGTTTTTGCCGTCGTCGTCGTTGTCGTCGGACGGAATCAGACGAAGCGATCGGCATTTTACGATCGAGTTAATGGGCCCTGGTCCGTGTCTGTAGCTGCTGCTTCTTGTCTGGTCCACCCGTCCCCCTCACGCCCTCGCCGGAACGCTGCCAAAGGGCACCTTTAAGCAGCACGGATATACGAACATCCATTAAAAATTAGCCGACTGCTTACCCGCACTTATCTATAGATGTGATAGATGGTAGTACCCCTGCTCGAACGAAACCCGCTGCTACAGAATATCATTCATGACACAAATCTCACGCAGAATAAATTATGGACGATCTAAATGACCTAAATGATCTAATTGACGTCATTGTACTAAAGCGAATCGCCTAAGTGTTGCTTGAAAGCCTCGCACAAAAGAAGAGATCATCGAAACGCTGACCCGTTACACGTACAGCGTTGAACGTGGAAGAATCAAGAAATGCAAAGTGATACGATCGCTTTCTCATATAATAAACATTGTGATACTGTTAGTAGTTGGCAAAAATATTGAAAACATTCATGCGATTATCATAGAAGTTACTGTGAAGTCAATGCGTACGTAATTAGAAAGTAGTTCGATGGCATACCAGTTATGTTGTCTACTCACCGCCACCTACGGCCAACATTTGGGCGGAACGAGGAAATAACTAGATTCCCTAAAGTGCCATGTCTCAAATCTCTGAAAGCTCGTGTAGGTCCCCTTGTTCTATATGGTAAAGTGTTCGTGTATAGTGTGTATCTAGACTGAGAGTTCTAGTAGCAATTATATTTCAAGACGGTCAGACGATGAATGCTTTTCGCATGTGAGACTAAACCCCCACGAACCACAGATATATGTGAACTAGGACTATGTTTGAATGTATGCAATATATTTAGGAACAAATAACTACTCGCTTACAATATCTCGATTGTAAGCTAAACACTCTACTTACATGAAAAGCTGCATAATATATAGATCGGTAGTTTTATGGAGTGTTAGATTTTTTGCTTTGCGCTGTGGTGTCAAAAGCCTCTAATTACGAATCCACCAATAACCTTTTCGGAAACTTGTTAAGTAAAAGGTTTTTCGATAACCACCTTGGTTAGGTATCTGTTGATGTCGGAGCGTGTAATGGCGCGTAATTCGAATAACAGGCCCTTAAGTTAATCAAATGAAGATGCAACTCGATTTTTTTTGAGATCTATCAATTCCATGTAGATAGAAAAACGTGGATTAATGGGCCCTTCATAGAGAACCTACGATTAGTTAAAGTAATCTGATAGATGAACAGCTATCTGTTTCACATAGCTATTTTTGATATATGCTAATAGGTGAGAAACAGGGTACTTATACAATTTTCTATTCTAAATGTCATAGTACATGCACTATTGTACAGTGTGGAGGCGCTGGGGTCGTAACGTTTGGCTCTTGCAAATGGATAACGAGTGCGACGCATTGAAACTGACTATCAAAAATTAAAGCTTATTTTGTCTAACCTCCTCTTAATCCTGTAAGCAAACCCACCTATAGGTATTATAATTAGTTCTCAAGCAAAGCTTGAGCCAAGCTCCACCAAAGCAACGTTGAGTATTTGATTAGTTTTCCTTTAAACAATTCGACTATATCCAAATGCAGCTCAATTCTGATCTAGGAATATCCAGAAGCAAGCTCGATTTCATTATCATTATATAATTATAAAATATTTACATGAATTTGGATCGCTTATAGGCGAGAATCGGGATCAGCCAGGCGGGTCGAAATCTCGACTCAAATTATAGAGCTGTTCGACACATGAGGATGCAATTTGGGGTCTTCACTGGGTTCGTTTCGTTGCCCAACGAAGCGTGGCTGCAAAATCGTCCAATGTAGTATAATATGGAGGCGTTATTTCCAGATATCGGGAAAACTGGACAGCAAGCTTTGAAGACCTAAATACACAATTTACAGTAGCGGTTTGGAATGAGAGCATGCGCATATTTGCATATGGGCTGTACCGCATATTGTAAGTTATTATGAGCGTATGTACAAAGTTAAAATTATCCTTTCTCTTAAAGAAGGAATTCTAGCACATGGAGAGACTATTCTCGAATCAATTATAGCTGAAAGAAACCGCCAACGGCCTATTCTTTTGTATGTATTTGGAAAATGGTCTAAAGCTAATTAAGCGTGTGAGCGTGAGACAGAGTTTTGCGAAGACAACCACGAGCTAAATTACCTCGAAGTACCCACCTATATATAGCTGACAATCTTAAGATAACCCAATGTTAATTGCAGGTAACGTATGAAAATACAGTGTAGAAGCCTTTATAGGACATATTGTCAGCAAAATCCTGCGTAGTGGAAACGCTGTAACTTCATGCCCTGCCGAATAGAGGCCAAGCTAGAATTGATCATCTTTTAGAATTAGTTGCACATATATCGACAATAAAGGTTGCCTAATAATTAGCATAGATAGAAAAATAAATGACCTTTTTGGGTCTATTGAAGAATAGTAAATTGAAAACTTGCTACCATGGTCAGTTTACCGGAAAGATTAATATGTAAGAAAATACAGCACGGATTGGCCTGTTGTACGATGTTATGAGTATATCTATATCATTTAATTCTGGGCTTAATTTGGCTTTCATGAATAAAGGGGTCCGTTGTTGGTATCGTGGACTATTGTCATCGCCATGGGGTGCATTAAAATAGCTGAGGTACATGTTGAACTAGGCAACAAGACGCCTTTGGAGTAATATCCAAAGAGATAAGTGTCAAAGCTGTGGCGCTATAAAACGATACGAAAAGCTGTGACGACTAAATACGGATTTGCAAATCTATCCTAAGCGGACAAAAGGATAAAGGGCCTGAACAGGTAACATGTCACAAGTTTACATGGCTACTCAGACTACGGATGAATCTCACAGAACAAATGCATTCCGAAATATATGTGAATTACGTAAAGCAACACCTGGTGTATGGCGAATGTCCCATAGGAGGATGATTAGATCAACTTCATTTCAATTTGAAACTAAATTCTATGCAACTTTAACTTGTTATGTAGTGAACTTGCCGTAAGCTGGGGTAATGCACAGACATTTTTTAAAGTATAAGCAACCGTAACTTTTGCAAAAACCAACGTGAGGTAATATGAAAGAGTGCAGTTTGCCACTGTTAGGCGCCATCTAAGAAAAGGTCTATTAAATGTGCTCATCGAGTGATGGCACCAGATCTTCCTTTGAAACTCTAAAGGTTCATAAATGTAGAGCGAAAGCTGCTAAGAAGTTATGATACGATCAAGAATTATTTCTCAGTAATGCAACTGAAGAGGAGGAAATCGCAAAAAAAAGCCACCCCCACCTTTACCCCTATGTTATTCAAGCAGACGAGATCGAGCAGGATTTTTTGAATGTTCTATACATTTGGTGATAAACTGTCTCTTTTGAGCTCGTTTTCAAACGGATTCACAAATTCCTGACCATTATCAAGTCTAACGTTTACCCTTCAGATATGCCAAAGCTACATCGAAGTAACAAAGGACTAAGATGACAAGCATCTCTGTCCGGTGAGATGGTTTTGCTGAGTGCTTTTGGAAATGCTACTGTTAGAGTTTTTTTCTAATAGAATATCCAAAATTTAAGATAAGTATACCTCTACATTTTTTCGGGGTAATGTTGGAATTCGTAGCCCCTAAAAACTTTCTAGATAAAGCTGGATAAGGACCATTGCGAAGATGACTAATTAAAAATTACCCCAATATGCTACCTGTGTAATATTTGGCACACTGAGAAACATACTGCTATCGAACCATCGTTTGATCGCAGCTCAAGTGAAGACCCGCTTAATTAATGAGTTGACGGTGAAGTGGCGACGCGTTTGCTTGCAATGCCTAGAGGCATGTGAGAAAATGTACGTTGGCAATCGTACATAAACAAATTTAACTTCGTGCTGCAGGTCATTTATTTTTAATAACAGTTAACTGTAGCATACAACGTAAAGCTGGAAATATATATTGCTAGCTTGATCAAAGACAATCCCATTTGGATACGTAAAATAAAGGTTCAGTGAATGTTCTACGGTAGGCAATAAACAGAGGACCAATATGTTTCTACCATTAAAAAAAGGTCATGCTTTCTTCAGTGAAAAAAAATACTTAATATTATAATAAGAAAGTTGATAATGCCCCCGGCGAACAACCTTAGACTGTTTTTTCAAAGATAATCTTCTTCGATGTCGGTCTGCCTGAGAATTTAGTGTGCCAGATAAAAACGTGAGTTTGAGTATGGCTTTACTCTGCATGAATGGTAGAAACGGATTGTCAATACCTGTGATGAACATACACTTACGAAACAGAAAATTTTACGTGAGGTTCTGTGTGGGACTTTGTCACAGTGCCCAGATGCCACTCTATGATAGGGCATATTTTTGCAGAACCCTTTATAAAAATTTTGAGCGAATGACGATGCTTCGCTTTTAAAGGCAGCTTATTATTTGATAATAAACTAAACTACTCAATGAGTACACAATACTATACGAGTTTAGCCTTTTACACTGTTTTTGATATCGACAACGCTTTTTATATGCCTGTCATTGGCGCCATCAGGAAAACGAAAGTTATAGTAGCAGGTTGTAAAAAACCACTATTCGAAGGACGACCAGTAAACCTTCTCTAACGTGCTGAACTGCATAATCCCTGCTGTTAGACCCTACACAAGTCGTTGTGGTGATATACTGATAACGGGTTTACCTCAAACGTTAGAGGTACGTGAAGTAGTTTAGGTCTGACACGGGGCGCAGAACGAAATGTTTCATGCTAGGAGTCAGCCGCCTGAAACAACGCTTAAAAGCAGTGCTTGACATAAAATTCGAAACATATTTATGCAAGCGCTTATGGTTGTATTTTTTTAATGTTTTTATCTTATGAATACTACGGTAATGGTAGAAATATAATTTCTTTTACTCACATAACGTTCAACCGTTTCGGCCTTCGACAAACGCCGGTAGATCTTGTATCAGTCACTGCATGCTCTGTCACAGATATTTTAAATTCATATTACACCAAATTCGTTAGCTCATTGTGGAACCCTTTTTAAAATAAACCAAAATTTAGAAAGACAAAGCAACAAAATACATTTCGAAACAATATCTTATAAGCAAGCTCTTACCGTTTACTAGTTTTCGGACGAAAATTTGTATATAAGCCCAACTCCGGCTTTGTTGTATGGTGATTTTCGTAAATTTTGATTGAAAACGAATTTTATTAGACAAAAATGTGGATTGAGTGGAAAATAATCTAACACAGACACAACGAATTAAAAACACCTGAAAACAAGCACTGAACGTATAACAAGCTGAAAAGCCCCCGTGTACAAGTGGCTATTTATCTCATGAATGGTCTCTTACTTAACAAGGAGTAGAGTGTGTAACTACAGTTATATGGTTACAACGCGGGCATAATAGTCGACTTTAACTTATCCAAGAACAACTATTTTTAACTCCATCATAGTCATTAATATCACAGAAAAAAAGGGACAAATACTAAAGTAATTTGTCTCGTGTCAGACGAGATCCTTCAACTACTTCAGACATATCTGCCTTACAATATTATATATATACATTTACCAGTTATTCATCTTTATGAGTATGTGAAGAAAAGGTTCAAGAAGAGCGCTTTTTACATATAAAAATAATCAATCAGTAAAGATCATTGCTTGTCGACACTGTAGGACGCTGCGGACACGCAAATATTTAGTCGAACCTTTAAATTATATGATAATTTTTTATTATAATCTTAGTATCTTAAAACATTAATATTTTGCGAGATTTTTTTTTAAAGTTTAAAAGTTAGGTCTTCTAGAGTAGTTATGACCGAACCGTAGTTATAACCATATATGTTCAGTGAAAACTTTCTAGTCATGCGAATGAATGTATTTTCTATTGAATAGTAATCTCAGGTTGAGAGAGTAGCTTTACTTGAGTTACAGGCTAGGCAGAAAAGGGTACTTTGTCGCCTATGAAAAGATCGATCGAAGGGTTGCAAAGTAATAAAAAAATATAAATAATTTAGCGTTCCATACTCAAGTTTGATTAATTCCTCCGGAGCGTTCCATTCAAATATTGGTAATAATAATAATAATAACAATAATTTGTGCCTAGACAGTTTTTGTCCAAGGTATGTTATTAAAAATCACTGGATAACTGAAGAATCAAAGGTTGCCATAGAAGACAATTATTTTTTACAGTCGTCTACCTCTTCAGTCGATCGCAGTCTGCAATCGTCGTGTATTTCCAAAACTCGATTACATTTTCCATTAGTTAGATCCGAATGCTACGCATTAAGCCTGTTGTTGAAAACCCCTTTTTCACTCATACTGTAGGTTTTGTGTAGAAATCACTCTTTTCTTCTTTTTGCATTGTTCAAATCTACTGTGCACTGTTAGCAGTACGATTTTTGCTGGACTTATATGGCTGCTTACTTAATCGCCTTTAACATAATCGCATTTGGATGCAGAAGATTCCTGAAGGTGGCACGACTAACTCCTACTGTGTAAACAATGGCCCAGATAGTTCAGTATTGCCTTGTGACGTTTGCGGTCCGAACATGTACCTTGAGCCCTGAAGCGCTAAAACCCCTTTCTTATATGATGTAGCGCACTATCGTTTAATCAATTATTCAATAACTGTTTTTTTCAACTGGATGTTTTTAAGTTAGAAGTCGTTATGGACGCAGTGGCATAAATTTTCAGCGCAAAAAATTACACGTAACAGAAAAAGCCTAAGTGCGAAACAGTGCAAGCATTGCAGAAGGTCTTGAATGAAAGGTGTAATCATTTTCAGGGCAAAGCACCGCATGAAAGTAAAAAAGCTGGCAAATTTTAGTGCTTGCCGAACCCACAACTAAGACATTTCGTTAACTTTACTTCGCCCCATTTTACGAGCTCAGGAATGAAACCTAACAAATTATCTTTCGACTCTCCTTGCAGAGACGAAAGTACGAAGAAGGTGACAAAGTAATTTTGCAGACAAAACTGTACAACTAACCCCATTCTTTTTTCGGATCTTTATTTCATGTATTTACTAGGAATTAGGGAGCATAATGTACAATGTCCTGTCATGTTAACAGGTTCATGTGTCTCCATTTATTGGCTGTTTTTCGCCAGATACAGTATATGCTGTCCGTTTTTTTTATCTTCCGATATTTATCCCTGCTCAGTTAGCTTTGCTAGGCATGAATGAGGCAATAGTGGCGGCAATAAATTATGCCCATCCCTCTTTGCATAACGACATTTAGCATAAAAAGAGAATGAAGTGCTCAGTAGTAGTTATAGCTATAGGGGTATCCGCTCCCGCGGGACCTGTATCCTCTACCGTACAGACCGCCGCCATAATAATCGTGCGTTGCGACCAAATCGTCATAGTAGTCAACCGGAGAAAGATCCCGATAACCTCCCGCCAGGAGTGGTCCACCACGATAACCCCCGGACACTCGAAGTGCTCCGCCCCTGAAATATAAAAAAATCGCTCCATTGTGAGCGCTAGCTAACCAACGTTGTAAGACAAGCAGTATAGAAGTCCAGGGCAACAATCCGAACAGCACACGATTGAGCTATGCCATATATACTATCTTTAATGCACAGTATTTGGACAGTTTCATAAAATACAGCGCACCTAAAATAGTCTAGCTGCACAGATGTATTTTTACATAAGTTGAACAGACAGATTTTCATCTACGTTGACAGGTATAAGTTGAATTTAACTTATACCTGTCAACTATACATATATATATATATATATATATATATATATAGTTTACATATATAACTATGTAAACTATACATATATGCATTTAGGTGGAAACCGTCTTCCACTCTGTGCATATTTTGAAACATTTTTTTAATAAAATGAGAAATCTCAAAAGTGCGCAAACGAGCCGAAAGCTGAAAATTGCTGCGAAATGTTAATGTATTTCGAGGCTAAAACCAAATGCTATCTTCAATAATAAGTTAAATACATACCGGTATCCTCCTGCCAGTACAACGGGCTTCTTGTATTGTCTTGCATACTCGTTGTAATTAGCTGTTCCGCTGTACGAGTACCCGTAAATGCCCCGTACGGCTCCGGGGAAATATACGGCGTTCCGTGCCATGATGCACGATATCATACATGCCATAGCAAAACACACATGCAGTATTAACGATCCGTTCATCTGCAAATTTTCAAGCAGTGACAAACAATACGAATACGAACACCTTCAGACATACATACAGAATAAAGGTGCAACGACTGCAAAGTAAAACAGTTTTCTACGTCTGATTAACGTACTTAGCAGGTCTGTAACAGTATTATTAGTGAGACGGCGAGTCTTCTGAGTATGGGCTCAACGCTCCTGCTTCTATCTTCGTTCGATGAAAAATGAAACTTGCGCAGCGGAAGAAGCGCTTAAGATAATCAGCCAAGTTATCTCCCAGTTATTTTATCGTTCTTTGCTTCATTACGTTCATTGAGTATATGTCTAAATTTATTATAATCAGTATATATTATGATAGTAATTTATGTAGCAGCTGACTTGTTTGGAGTAGAAGACGTTTACTGGGTACAGCGCTTACTGAACTCAACCGTAAGTTGACTTGCCGTGATCACGCTTAGATTATATATATACATACAGAAGAACATGTTGAAGATAAGAGAAGGACATGTTGTTTGTATCTTAACGGTTTCTGCTAATGAAATATTGTGGCGGTCACATTTGCATCGGTACCATATTGAAAACGTACACATCGGGTACTTATCGGTACTAGAGTGCGAAAATTTTTCTCGCTAATTTACCTCTAATATAACCTTTTTTTCCACTCTTCACCTGACAATGTTTTGTCGTTTGAAATCGATTACGGTTTATTGTTCACAAAGCTAATTCTTCGACTATCGTTGCATGTGGTTTGGCATAGAACACGTCGAGATTTCAGAAGATAGCGAAGAAAATGACACGCCACGGTTACATCAGATCTCTTGTACGAGTAAAATGGTTCTGGGGATTTCCTGTTGAGAAACTGCAATTTCGCATGCAATTCTATACGACCGGGTTTACCTATACGGTGTGCAAAAAAAAATAACTTATTCGATATGAAAGTTCGGCAATAGGCAGGCTAGCAGAAGTTATCATAGGCATACGTGGACATCATCTAAAAAATCGCCATGGCCTCAAGCAAGGCATAATTGCAATCGCTATATATAGAAGTACACGCACAGTGTGAACCGAACATCGGTAGCGTAACAGCTACTGCCTGATAGCATGTTTAGATAGAAGACTTTAGAAATTTGTTCTCGTTCAACGTTCAGAAAAATGAGATAGCATTACATTTGCCCACGACGGGCAGAAATAGAAAAAGTAAAAATTAATAACACATAATACACCGAAGATTCAAGATAACTGCAACACTAACAATGGCCGAGGCCAAAGCAGTGGTTAAGTCTAATAGTTATGGCTATGTTTGACATCCTGCAAGTGTCGAAAGTCAACAGTGGTTTTCATTTGAAACGTGCAGGTAATGTAAAAAAAACTGCATAATGTATCACATTTTAATTAAACTGGCCGTAAAGATTCCCAATCGGTAATTTAGCATCAATGATTTCTTTGAAAAATGCCATAACCATCAAAGTTGACTTTTTTTTCGGAAGAAAATATCTCATTAAAAAAAATGATAGATAACTGAAAATAAATGTATTAAGTATATCGTACTACCTGAAAAGACAGATTTCGTTATTTATAATAACCCACGATGCTCAAAAGCTATATATACGCACTATTCAAAAACACAGTTTTCCCTTGTAAATAATTGGCAGCGCATCAATACTCGATGACATTATTAACTGCACTCTTCTGGAAACGCATGCGAACATCCACATCATTATGATCGTAGAAGATGATCATCTGTACCACTCACTTTAAATTCTTCTGCTTTACCTCGATTTGACACAAACTTCTATTGTCGTCCTTTTGTGCTTTACTTTTCCTTTTACGCTGTGAAGATCATCTGTAGTCGCGCATGACATTACAACCCCCCCCTGAAGCATAAATAGTACCCTCACCCTCAAGTCCCTCAGACCATTCCATCACGGTCATTCGATGTTGATGGCAAGGGTGCGTATAGACTCAACGAGTTCTCAGTAAACTTACGTATATATATATATAAAAGTAATCATAGTACATGGGGATTTGTTTTCATTAATATATGGTTTGTTTTCAACAAAGTATGATCAATAGATATAAGATGTCGCGGTTGCGTTCCATCAAAATCGATTAGGCTTCCCAGCGTCTATAAACTAAGCACTGATTGCCGTAGTACTACATATAGGTGGTACTGGTATTGGGAAGCCGAGTGTGATGCAATCAAATACATAGTAAAATCACTCCCAGCTACGTTCACTGGTCAAGAGAACCATCTGACGATATGACTATTACGGTTCCGTACCTTCGGAACTGCATAAAAACAGTGAGCTTTTAAAATCTAGCTTCTAGACGAACAGCTAAATGATAGGGTCTGTATTTTATCACTGGTAGGAACGGTGCGTCTACGAAAGATCAAAGCAAGAAGTGAAATTTGCATACGACCTTGCCGGCTGAAATATTTCGCCAAACGGGGGGAATAGTCAACCATTATATCTTTCATTATTTTCCTATCTGTATTCTAATGAATAGAGCTTCTGTCAGAAGAGAACAGAGAATATTTTCACACCGTTTTCAAGCGATTTGTAGCAAAGTTCTGAGTATATTTTTTTGAACGTCTGAATAAATTCAAGTGTTGATTTAGTCGACTTGTAGATTAAATGGGTGATTTAGGTTTTATTATGTGCATGAACCGTATTCATTTCTTATATTCAAACTTAACCCTCTTTATTGTGACTAGGAAAACTAAACCTTTGGCTGGAAGACCTAGGGGCCGCTGCCCCTCTGTGTTCCACACGTTAGCATGTGCGATGCAACGACAAATTCAGATACAAAATTGGCTACCACCGCCCAACTAATTACAATGCTCTTTGAGTAAACGTTGGTGTTGAAAGGATTTAGCCTTCACAATGACAGAATGCCTCTTGACCTCTAGGAGTGCTAAGAAATGAGCAACATAGTAACAGGCGTATGTGTTGTCAATTATTAAGATATAGTTGCGAAGTTTTCGGCATCAAAACGCTCAGAGAACTTGTTCCTCTTATGTACCTAGGTGACGACAAGTTAGACAGACGATGCAGTTTCTTCATTACCTCTCAGCCTTTTACCCTATATTGCACGTAGTTGCTGAAGACGACACGCTATCGCTTAACTAAGTACTATGTAAGGGCACCACAGAAAGAATGTTTCGGCTATATGTATATATAAAGAATTTATACACAAAGTACACTACTAGTTAGGATGTTGAGCAGGGTTCGACATGATTAAAGGTAATCATGGTAACGTTATATGTAGAACAACATAGGAAAAGAAAAAACCTAAAAGTACGAATTAAAATGTTATGTCCTCTGATTGTTTCCCTTTAATTTCCATTTCAAAATTAAACTCGCTATTTACAGAGCAACTTAGAAAAGTCGATTCTTGATAGATTGCTTTAGTTAGAACTTACCGGCAAATAAGTATAATGAAGCTGAAACTTATTTTATCATTATTCACGATTGAGAAGTAATGTTAAAAAGTGTAGCTACTATTCTTCTTTAATTTGAATTCTTTTACTTAGCAGCTATCGGTGTCCCACTCAAGTCAGTTTGTGCGCACAGCTAGCTGACCGGCTCACCTATTGATTTCCGTGTTCTGATCACATCGTTGACATACCCATTACATCTACTCTATCCGCCCGGACAAGTTTCACTTTTCAATAGCTAATATCAAGGGTATCACAATGGCGTTCGACACGATTTCCACCCCGTATTGACTGGCCCACCTTGCACCGATGGCCGTTCTTATTCGCGTTTGCTTTTTGTCTTATTGAGGCCAGCGTATCACGAAGAACGCCCCAGATGCTACTCACCGTCAACAAAATAACAGAGGTCATATTGGGGTCTAGTTTTAATACCTCATTCGACCACCAACCACAAAGTTCTTATTTTCATCCCCTTCGCTAATATCAATAGTTGCTATTAATGAACCTTCGTGACCAATGAGAATCCGTAATGTTCTGCTATCGAGTCGTAACGTTTGGATTTATTCAATAGTAACAGAGGACGCTGAAGGGGCATTTCGATGATAAAGTATTACCGGCTGAAATGCTGGTTGATAGTAGCGCAGAATTCGATCGTATATGGAGTTAATGCTAACTTGATAGCCAGCCCCGCCGTACCGGGATCTTGCGTCAATTTCGTGGCCGTCACGAAGTCCCGAAGCCTCGGCGCGTCGCACAACGCTTAGCCGTTGCGAATATGGAGGGAAACCCTACATCCGTCAATGACTGAATGATCTGAGGGCCGGTTCGATAACAGCAGATTTAGATCTGTTCACTTCTAAATTTGCCTACCCATTCGTTCCAGGGAACTAAGTACCGAAAACGGTGCAAATGATTGCCGCATATAACAAGGCATGGTAGAAGTCGTGACAACGCTACGGTTACCGGTTCGATTGTTGCTTTTGCAGTAATCTGTCGGGTTTGTGTTGAACTCTATCGGGTTGGCTAGCAATCACTGACGTTCTCTTTTTTGTAGCATTACCTTCGTTCGCCAGAATTACAAGCAAACAAAGAGCATCGCTTAGCTTTAGCTTCCATGCAAGGTCCTCTGGTCAGCTTTGACAATGGTTTCATCAGCTAACCCCGTTGACTCCACAGTGGGTCTGTGATCGATTTTTGATCATTATTATCAATATTAGTTTATATAATACATTTTTAGTGTTTCACTCGATATGGAAGGGCGTATAGTTCATTGTTTCTCTATGAAGCGTTTTGCTAACAGTAGCTATTGTTCAGTGCCAATGGAATTTTAATCTTGATCGTTTACCGTGTGGACATTTTTCTAGTTGATATTGTTTAGAAAATCAATGTATGAATACGCGTAGCCATGGTAAATAGGTAAAAAGTCATACCTTAGCTAATCGGACTATAACGTAATACGATAACAGATAGCTAAGAAATCGCTGAGTTGTAGAGGAAGCATATATGATGAAACAACAAATTTATGCTAACAGTAAAATGCTGCTAGCGTGTCGACATGATCAACAGCAAAGCTCTTATTAGCGTCAAGGTCGGCATTTCATCAATCAGCTAATCGATCTAACACTGCAATGTTTCACCCTAAACCCACGCATCGTAATTCTCAGTAGAATCGCTTTCAAACATTCAAATCTGTTTAAGAACAGTGTCACAAATACTTAGCGAGTCATAGATATTTTCTGTGCCGAATACATCGACGGGACATGCGAAGCGATGTATATCGTCAGCTACACTATCAACATTACGAAAAACAAAACATGCAATGGGTAGGCTAACACTGAGCTGTAAACAAATCGATGGTTAAGATATACTGCATCGCATTCCAGTCTATTCTGAAACGTCAATGTAATACCATGTGGTATGGAACGACCGGCCTAGCATGGAAACAGATAAACACCTAAGCAAGCCGCCAAAAGCCGATTCCGCTGAAAAACTTACTTTCTTCTAAGCTATTGCAAAATAAAGCCAAATTTTCCTCGGCGTCCATTGGATAGCCGCGATGGATGATGCTAATTGCTGACCTCAAGAAGTGTCCACTAGACTACTTTATAGTATTTAGAGGTGTAACGGGATGTGGATGCCTGATAATAGTACGCCTCGCATTGTCCACTATTCACCGCAAAGGCGCCTTATCTGGCCTATGGCATATTTGCACTGAATCATTGTCTGAGATGTCCTCGTTTACAACAAGGTCGGAACGTTCGGGAATTTCATAGCGTCACTAATAATTCTGTACTCAAGGTAGCTTAGGAACTGCTTTTATAACATGATAAATTTCAATCTCAAAGCTATTTTGGCGTCTGCTAAGCTCAATTCAATATAAGTTTCGGGCACAACATGATTGAAAGTGGAATTACCGCGCACGTTCTTCATTCGAAATAGAATGCCGTTGTTTGAGTACGTGTATGTTTTAGTATACTCTTTGAACTGTTTGGTCTAGAATGGTGATCTATTAATGTGCATTAGAAACGCTTCCATTTCCGCTCTGGCAACTTCTTAGCCACTGATAGCTTTCTTAAGGCGTCGAAAGCCCCATAATCACATTGGCTTAGATCTAGAAAATAAGAGAAGTAAAACCAATACTAAAAACTCATTTTCTAAGTCTTGAAAATTAACTGAGGCATAGGGATGAGATTTGGCTCCACGATTAAGTAATCACACTACGTGCCTTCGATCACCGTACCAATAGGCCGTCTATAGGCCTTTGCAGGAATTCGAAATAGCGGGTCGCATTGATTGTTTCATTTTTGGCAACTATCTCACAGTAGCGGATACCGCTGATGTCTATTGTAAGTACTACCGTCATTGTATATTCGAACCTACGCGACATTGCCGTCGAGCCAAACTTCTTTCCAGGGCGATAGCGCTCCCTTGCCTGGTCCTTTGGCGCTTCACGGCAAATATTGAACCATGGCTCGTTTACGATGATCGTACCTAAACGTCCGCAAATTTCACGCGGAATATACGACACGTATTTCCAACTAGCCAGGGATGGATCCATAAGGCGTTCGTCTTTTCCCTGGTTTCTACATTTTCAATATTATAATTTTCTAACGCCGGTTCCGACCGATGTCGATTAGATGCAATGGAACCCTTAGACTCCAAGTTCTGCGATTGTGGCAATGCGTTCTTGTCCTTCGGTTCTTGAAATTCGGTCACTTGCTTGCTTCAGACTAATTTATCTCAACACAAGAACCTTTATTCTTGAAACGTTTACCCCATTCACGTGCTACGCTTTCACTTAAGACCTCTTTGCTCTGTTAAGACCGCAATGTCTATGACCAAACATACCTTTACTAGCCACTGAAAAACAAGATTTTAACGGACAAAGGCGTCGTCAAAACGAACAAGGATGTGCATTACAAAAAAGTCCAAACATCAAATCCGCACTTCTATCCAACATACAATATTTTGTTGTCGAACAATCAGTAAAATATGTAAATATTTAATCCTAAATTTGCAGCTGACCGTTTTGTGCTATTCGATTGTGTATGAAAGGCAAGAAAACCTATAGAGTTTTTTTTACATATTTGAATTAGAGCATTGACGATTATACTCGTATGCACGGGGTATACCGAGGTGAATGTCTTTCTAGAAGCAGATGAAATAGTTATCGTAAAAATTCAAAGATCATAATTGTGGTTTACGTCCACGAATCAGGCAATTCGGACAGAGCGTTTGCAAAAATAGCTTACTAGCTAATCGTTTGTATATGTCCGGTCCTTTAGAACATGAATGAGAAAAACATCAGAGGACTTCTCAGATGAAAAAACACCATGTATTTCTTAGCATAGTTTAATATGTAGAAAAACGAAACCGCATGATAATATATTATAGTATTAAACTGAAAGAAGAACTCAGTGCACGGACTTATTCATGCAGTTCGTCCGTTGTCGTTTCGGGTAGTAATAGCAGCGTGAGTCACGTTCCGCTTCATCGATTTGTGGTCATGAAAAATCATCTGCATAGGCCATTCGATGCCAATGCCACGATACAATGCGATGCCAACATGACGGCGTCACCAGCTGTTTTAATAAAGCCAGCCTAGAAATTCGTCTAATTTCATATATCAGATTGAACTGAATAACAATAGATTGAGCGGCTGACGTTCGGCCGACCGGGTGAATAAGCAAAGATGTCGTGGTCACACACGGATGATTTGCTAAACAGCATCGACCAGCAGCACCGGGCTTGAGAAAAGGCCGAAGCCAAATCACAAAAAAATACGGTCAGTTAAAAAAAAAAAAAACTTATTGGTTTAAGCGTTGAATGAAATGTGCAGAGCAGCGAAAACGAAAATGCACTCATTGCCTATGTTCACCAGCGCCAATAAGAGGGCATCAAGTTATTACTGTTGATCATAATTATTGTACAATCAAATTTGTCTATAATGAATGGAATAGAAAGAAAATTGCTCAGGCCAAGAAAACGTGTACGTAAGCAGGTCTATATCGACACGAACATCTATAGCATCAGTTCATATCCGTCAATATGTCCGAGCCTGCTGCCATAGGAATCACGCTACGACAGCAACTGTACGAGCAAGAACTGAAGACAACAAAACTCTTAGTTAATGGCAGTAGACGTGAAGATACGCGCTGGAAGCAGAAATCTGTAGCGTACGAATTATATGTGGACGGTGTAAGATGACAGATCTAACGAACATGGGTTATATTGAATATGGCAGCGGTCTATGCGAGTTGGGCCCGACTCGTACGTCGAACGGACGAGTAGTGGAAAAGTAGAAAAAACGTTTATTCGACGCCACTTTATAATCCCAACTAGCTACACAGGATTGGCCGTTGTGCTTACCGCCTGTTTGGTGTTCCGTTCAGGGTGGTAAGGGCGAATGTGTAGCGAAGGAGGTCAGAAAGACTGATCCGTTTGCGACGGTCCACTCGTATGCGATCCAAGAATGACTGCGAAACCATGACGAACCAGAATGAGGAAACGCGAGCGACATATGAGCAATAACTGAACGAACAACAGCCGATGAATGAAAAGTCGTCATGCAGAGTGCATCAGTGTGTAGTCCCGCCGAAAGGTGCCCATAAACAATGCTATTACGTTGTGATTTCTGTTAGCACTTAATAACAGACGTGTAAAAAAAATTACAAGGCAACACGTTAAAAAACATTCGATCGAATCCTCTAGAGTTACGTGCAACATTTGCCTGCTTATGCGTCCAGTGGGGCGGCAGAATTCGTTGTGAGGACAAATATAGGACTATAGAAAGAAATCAACGGTAAGGAGCCACATGCACTTTGGTAAATGTAACACTAGTACCCTACTTACATCTGTATGTATGTATGTCAATAGGTTAGGTTTAATGCTGTTGATGAGCGGTTTAAGGTGTAAGCCGTATCGGCCTTAGGCCGGCGGTACTCAGTGCTATGTGCAACGCTTACCGCTAAAAGGAAAGATATCATATTGGCGATACATCTGCAGCGTTCGTTAAGCAACACGATTAATTTTACCTCAGTCACTCACATATTGATTTTCTATATAAGGATCTCCTTATAAACTGCACACAAGGACTGTAACGTCAGATGTGATTCGGCATACTTGCACACGCTTGAAGAATATGTTTTCCAGAACGCTGAAATTCTGTTTCTCCTAATTTTAAGGCAATACTTTATTTCGAAAGAATTCTATAACTATGCCCGCCGTAAGCGATTTGAGTTTAGTACGATTGTTTATTTGATAGCTCGATTTACACTTTCCAGAGAGTCGGATGTACATATAAACTGTACTCGATGAGCCTAAGTAGCTTATTCAAAATTTAAGGTGGCCACATCAACGAAGTCGCGTGGAACACAGACTAATCCATTTGCTGGTTACTGAGCAGGCCGATAGTCAAACTCGTATATGCGTTTACTTAGTATGTAAATATACAGCGATTCGCCCAAATATTCTCAATAGCGAAATTTGTACGGAGCAAAATTGCCTTTACTTCAGCAATTTACGCAGTTCACGATTCGGTCAACAATGAAGGATAATTGCTTTCTTATTACTTCTAGATGGTTGTTTTTGTTTATTAGCAACACCTTTAACCCATTTGCGTTAAATAAAAATGACCAGAAAAGGGCAAGTACGAATTAAGGCTCTGTATATGATTTAATTCTATAATCCTTGGCCAAAATAATTTGCCGAATCCCTGAGGCGAACAAAAGAGAACTAGAAAAACTTGTGTGATTAAAAGAAATCGAGATGCATTTGCACCTGCACACTTGAATAGCTTAGCCTATGAATGGCCTTAATAAGTACGATGTCTACTGAGGGAAAGGCATCCATTAACGCCAAACGAGGTGAAATTAAGCCAACGACTTTTTCACTCAATATAATTAGATAGTTAAGATTTACGCTAGTTATCTTCTACTTCAACATTTCAAGTGTTTCCATTTGAACGTGCATGCAACGCGTCACCGATAACAAATACGCCATAAAACACATAAAACACATCGTCAACCTCGTTGATAATGGTTAGTACTTAGTTATTTTTTAACAGTTCTTAAGTCCCCTAAAATGACGAAGTTTGTCTCAATAGCGTTGGGTCTAGTGGCGATTCTGTTTAACGCTGTCTTTGGCTACCCAGTGAGCATCAGCCGTGTATTGCAGAACCTCCGTAAGTGCTCATTTAGCAATGCTCAGCTTGATTCCCTGTCGTTAGATCGTGTCTGATATGCTAACACAAATAAGCGAGGTGGTGCGATCAGAGACGGAAGTGGAATTATTGTGCAGGTGATGACCGTTCTTTTTCCAGAAACAAATGTGGCGTTCGCGGCGAGTCAAATTGCTACTGATGCAAGGAATTTGGCAAAAAAAAAGAAAAAAAAAAACTAAAATGCGGAATTCAGTTCTATTCAAGGTGCAGCGTACGCATTCCTGTTTAACGTCTGCAAAAAGCATGTGGAAAGTTGGCTCTCAATCTAGTACAACCTTTACAGGAATCTGCAATCACTTTAAAATTTAAAGTTGTTTCAATATTAAATTGAACCGAAATTAAAACTTTCGCAAAAGCTATTTGATCTGAGCTACGATGATTGAACTTAGTCGTGGCCTGTTATTATTAAAATGAACTGCTCGCGACAACGGGTACACCTATTCGTTTTCTTACTAGTTATTATCCTACACTTCGTTCAGCGGAATTTTCCCGATGGTCAGGCGAAGATTCGTTTTGGCCAAGCAAAGGTCTTGCTAAACAGCTTCTAATACGACAGGTTATCACATTGTCGAATTCGACCATGAACCATATTAAGAGACTATCGATCAATGTCAGGAAGCTTCGGCCACTCGAATACTGAAATTAACGGTTTTGTTTTATACGCAGTTCACGACGGAAATTCATCGGGCGCTTTCCATGAGTTACGTAAGTGACTGCCATTTACAATGTAGTTTTTGTATACCACGCTTAATTCATGGATTCGTAGGCGCGCGTATATGAACTAGGATCGAGTTTTTCGTATGGGAGCGGATTTTCTGAAATCGTATAGCTGTCTTATTATTTTAATTATTAAGCAAATAATTATTTGAAAAAAAAAAGATTACTAGCTTGAATTTTACTCTCCTGAGTAGATACGCGCAATTAGCTATGATGTAAATTATCATGCTGAACAGCAGATCATCTCGGATATCTAATAAATTGTGGTTTTTTTCTTCTCTAGAAATATCGCAAGGGTACAAACGACAGGCGAGTCCAGAGTTTACTGACTGCATCGAATCAAATGTTCATCCGTTCAACATACTTTGCTCGACCTATGACGGACACAATTATGGGATCATTCATGCGAGCAAAGAGGTTGTAAAAGTTCTATTCATCCTTTTTCAAATGTTTTTTTTTTACAAATCAAAAAAAAATTTAATATTTAAGCTCTGGTTTTCATTTGTAGCTGGTTCTAATTTGAATGAGAGTTGACCGTTGCATTTAATTAACAATGAAAACCTTGGCATCCTGAACATGTTGACGGTTTCAACTAACGGCCTGCGATTGATCATTAGTTTCGCCAATATTTTTGGTGCTGATAATCGATGTTTACGGTGTATACGGATTCATTCAATATTCAAACACAGATCTGTGTCGGAAGCAAAAATGTTGTGAGTTTTTTTTTTCACTAGTTAAAAAATAGGAGTTCAGTGATTATATAATGGTTGAGTATGTGCTGCACTCGATTCGTGATGAATGAACTTCCTTATTGATGTTGTCATGTCGAATTTTGCGTGTCAGACGCTGATCTTCTAGTCTATCTAGTCTAAGTGACGTTACCTTGTTTGCATGAAAGGAACGTGACCTTCTGTCAGAAAGTGAACCGACAATTACAGCAAGCAAAGCTCCTAGCGTACGCTTACGTCCAGGTGAGAAAAGCATTTAATAAAAGCTTTTTTTTTTTATTGTCTGCAGAATTCTATTTTAAAACTGTATTGTACTAGTTAGATTAGAAAGCGTAAGTCTAAAGCATTGAATCAGATTGCATGGAGAAGGATTACGTTGATCAATTATTTTGATCAAAACGAACCAAGTATTGGTTGAATCGCAAATCCTTACTTGGATTTAATTGATGAGCCACGTCTAGGATACTCTCATGATATGCAAAACCAGCTTTTATCACTCCAGTACCATAGTCATATCTAGAAAATTGTTGATTAATTTTCCGACTCTATTCATGATGTTATAATGGTGGCAGAAGTGGTGCTGTTACAAACTTCTATGTAGCTTACTGTGAATTGATTATTATGCATATGCCGTTTATATTTTGAAACAGATATTTACTAATAAAAGGTAACTAATTTCTAAATAGGACCAGGGAAGGCGGTTAATAATAACAAGCAAGATAACCTGAAAGGGTCAAAAAATAATGAAAAATCTAAAAATAAAGAATCATCCCCGAAAAACGAAAAACTAGTGGGACAGCCAAAGCTTGATCTTGATAAATTGACCTCAAATGACCTCAAATCAAAAGGCGGAAATAACATGGACAGGAAACCGATGCCTGAAAATAAAAGCGGAAAATCGTACAAAGACGGAGTAACAGGTAGAAATGGGCACTGGGATAACAAGGTGGACCTACTGCCGAAGCAAATACCTGCGGATACAACAGTGGATCACCAGGAGCAACAGAAGAATAATGTGAAAAGTCAGGAAAAAAATTCGTATGTCCTTTCAAATGAGCCGAACGAAAACCGAGATAGGCATCAAACGGAACCAAAACAAAAACCAAACAAAGAGTATTACTCGGGTGGGTCCGATACCAGCGAAAACCAGGACCTAGAGGACGAAATACTCATTCCACCAAAGGCACCTAGCTTACGAGAGAAGTCGTTCAAGACCCTTAACAAAATAAACGCATATGAATACCGGGATGAAGACCAGATGAGTCCCGACCAAAAATACCCGGATGAAGACGAGGACAAAGAGGAGCCCACTGGAGAAGATTACTCAAATGAGTACCAGGTAGAGCCGGAAGTAAAAGAGGAAATGTCGGCGATGCCGAAGGCACCGCATACATTCAAGCCTCCTGAGACTTTTCACCATCAGCCATGTGCGAAGCCCATAAAAACGGTGAGCTCAAACAGGGAGCTGTACATGACTCCACAAGAACCAAATACAGACGAAAATTTGGAAGAACACGAGGTAGGGCCTGACGTAGATGAGAATCAAGGCAAGCACCAAGAAGCTTCAGGCTTAACTAAAGAAATTCAAAAAATTATTCAACGTCTAAGGAAGGGCAGTCGTGACTCTCCAAAAGGAACGTTGTATTGCGTAGATCCTTCTAAACCTCGAATTTTTTACCTCGTCAAGGTCAAAACACAGGTGCGGTGTTTTTTGTGCCAGTTGTAATCTAGACGTCACTCTACGAAGATACGGTCTCTAAGTTCAAAGTTTGTCCCTATTATTAGTAGGGCATATTTCGTCTTTGAATAACGCTTTTCCTTGTAAATTTTATTGTCTTTAAGAACTTTACTTTAGTTACCTTAGGGTACTCTGTTAAGAAGAAACGGCGGCTCCCGAGTGGGCATAATGAAATGTCTAGTTTCTTTATGCCCACTCTGGAGCCACTCTAGTGGCTCCAGAGTAGAATGGATAAGCAATATATTATCGCGCTTCTATAATCAGTTCTTTTATTGCTCATTATGGGACAACTTTTGAAAACCTTAACAAGGCTCACTAATTTTAACATCCCTTTCGAAACTTTGCTATGGTAGAAGGATAAAGCAAGCACGTAGAGGCGCAGGTCTCGCCGAGCCACTACCGAGTTGCTGAATGCCCGATTTCCTATTTGCCCATAAAGCGGAGTGTCCGGCGGAACCGGAAGATTGAAAACAGATGGTCAGTCTTAAAAATCGAGTATTAGAGCGCAACCTTACATAGTGCGGCTGCCGACATACTTTTTTCATTAAATTTTTACTGGTAATTTGCCACGTTCTATTCCACCCAGGGTTGATGTTATCCGCAATAGCAATATAATAGCAATAATTTTATATATATAATTACATGTTACTTTTTTTAACATAAAGGTACATGCTTTCCGCATAAAAATCATGTTCATCTTGTCATCCTTATAGGATTTTTTAAATTTAAAATGATATTTTATATCATATCTTTAAAAATAAAGATATAAAATATCTAAAAGACATAAAAAAGATATAAAAGTAATATTATAAATTAATAAGGTAATATTTAATATATATTGACTATTTTTTATACGTTCCTAAGCAGCGAGCAACACGTAAAAGCGGTAACTTAAATTTTCTTATGAAAAAAACAAGTAATAGAAGTAAATGCTTAGCGAACTAATCATCCTGAATCGTGTTCCGCAGGTGAAGGATCCATAATGTATTACCGATACCTGAGTTAATCATTTACTGAGGTTCCTTTTGCATTGATCGTACTATGCGCCGCTGTGTATCTCGCAGTTGCTGAAATACATTATGAAGTTAACGGGTTTACTGCTGGCGTCAAAGGAAGCGCTTGCAGAAACACCGCTTCTTACAAATCTACAAAAATATGGCTCGCATATATCCACGCGGATCGAAAGTTGATCAATATTAATAAACAAAATACCACTAAATCTTAACCAGTGTTGTCAGTGTCTGTGAGAAAACTAAGCGTCGCGGCGGCAGAATAGCAAATACAAAAATACTTTTACCCCAATATACCCCAAAATATAATCTAGGCATTAAACCTGCAGTTCGAACCATACAGTTTTGCTGGATCAACAAGACATGGAACGCTAAATGTTTTTTTTTCCGATGGACAAACCACGCGAACCCGGCTGCACGACTAATGTATTTGCTATGCTATTGTAGATAACAGTACTACTACAGGCCGTAGTGTGTGGAGGCTACACACTGTATTAATTATATGCACGCGCTGAGCTGTCCTCCAAATGATTAAAATGCCTAGTTACATGAAACAGATCGTGACTGCTAAATTATTAGCAATACGAAGGCACACGTTTGTACCACTGTATTATTGATGAACTCACAGGAAGCACCCTGGTTAAGGAACAATGCATCCAATGATTTCTTTTAAATATTACTGTGTAGTTATGTGCTGGGCTCTACTTACGAGATAACTGGGTTAGTGAAACGATGCACCGGGTATCTTTGATGGCAATTTTTTTTTAATTATTGTTATTAAAAAATAGCTATTACTAATGGTTGTTATATCGAATTTCATTTTCTATAAGATGGCAAGCAGTGCGGATATGACAGTGAAGTAGTGCATACCTCATGTACACATTGGTTGGCCTGCATTTAACAGCACAAGCTCTCCGTCGGTTTGTTTAACGATAATAATAAAGAAATTGACATTTTAGTCTTACAAGTAGTGCCTTGAATCATTTTTTAAATAAGTACCTTAATAGTTTCTTCCGGTTTGCTTCTTTACTTACGTCCTTCGTTGCTGATTTTTAAATTAGGGATAATTATAGAAGATGAAAAGTGCAAATAAAAAAAAACAGTATCATGTGCATGATGTATGTACTACATTTCCAGAATGGGTTAGCGATATATGATTAAAGAGTAGCAAATGTGAAATTACTATAAGTGAACCTTTAAATACCAAAATCAATAATTGTCGAGTGATCTAAAGGAATAATGATAAGGAGAAAATTCAAAATTTAAGTTTCGGGAGCTTTATTCGACGTAAAGGACACATTTGGCATATCCTAAAGCCGGAAATGTTGAACAAAAGTCTGTGTTTGAACCGATTCATTACAGTGATTGCTTTACGTTAGGCGGGAGAGAAAATACATTTGTTGTAAATTTGTTCAAAAATAATTCTCATGAGATATTCTCATGTGACAAGTGTGATGAATAGACGAATTGAGAAATATTCCTTATGCCATAAGGTAACTTTCAAATTACATCGAACATCCTTGTGCGCTGATTTTTTATGACCCGTTATGAAACTGCTGCGTGTAATTATTAAGAACCTTAAACGTTGCTATGTACGCCTACAGTGAAGCACATGCATATTACTGTTACTTCTCACATAACCACCATTTTTGTCGTAACGCGTTCTTGCAAACGCTTGTTACGATTAGCTCAGCATTGTAGTTCGGAATGAAGAAGCTCTTGTAATTAGCTAATATAATTTTTATTGCTGAAAGCTAGACAAAATTTAACTGAATGACACAATTCTTTGATATATAACCCTGTAACAGTGAAAATTATTTTACACAATAAGGCAACAACGACGCAGAACAGAATTGCATTGTCGTTTCCTGTTCTTAGTTCCTAAGCTAGCCATGAATAAGCCTAGTATAGAAAGCATGGATGCGTATTCCGTTTACTCTTTTTCCACATCATTTTCTTAAAATAAAAGTGTTCGGATACATAATTAAGCGGGTGCTTGCATATTGTTCACAGCATGCTTTCTTACCCTAGAAAACTAAATTCACAACTAATGCTTATCTCACTCGAGCTACTTAGTTTGTTATCTAGTCCGTTTAAATAACCGCATATAGGTTTTTGCACACTATTTCAGGGAATAACGAAAAAGTCAAATGCTGTTAGAGGAATTATAAACACATCCAGTGAGTGAAAAAAAATGGCCACTCCTTGCTTCGACTCAAGATCTTTTGTTGTTATAAACGTATTGTTAATTTCATTATGGAACGTTGCGCAAGCTGCACCTATGAACGACTTCAACAAAGGTCACAGTCAAGAAGGTTAGCAGATTCTAAAGTAAAATACATAGGAAGATATTATGCGAAACGATTATTGATTAACCCGAGATAATTATTAATTATCTCGGGTTAATCAATAACCGGTTATTAAAGTTCGCTAATCTTTTGTCTAAATTTCGCTAATCGAGTTACTCGTAATAAATTTATATATTGCTGCACAAATATGAGTTTATAAGTGGATATTATGTTGTCATAGGGGTGATTCTGCCAGATGGATACGAACTGACGCGCTGCTCAAGGATTGCAAGTCAAAATGATTCACGCTTGCTGGTATGTTTAGACACAAAAGAGGAACCCGTGTTATTGACTATTTCCTCAGTCAAAGGTAAGTAGGACACCGTCACAAAGAAGCATTATTTAGAAAAATTCATTTTCATACGGTGCTGTTTAACAAAGCTTGTTTAGCAACATAACATTGGTAATACTTTTTTTTTTTGAAAAATCTGTAAAAACGGCTTTTGAAGCTATACGCCAAACTTTTTCGCGTTACGGCTAGTATTTTTGCTATATTTGAGTATATCAGCACTGTCGGCAACCTTTTGAAAGCGTTGTTATGGTAACTATGAACATGTGCTATTGCTTTAAACATCAGGATTGGTAAATAGCTACACTATGGGAATAGCTAAAGACAATGTTTTAAAAGAAATTAAGCAATTACTTATATTGCAATTTCAGATTTTTCTTCATTTACTGCCCGAAATCAATCGCCTCCTCAAAGCAAGTACCTTATCGCACCGCGAACAAGCCATTTTGTGCCGTCTTTCCTCCGCCGATGCTTACCAGCGCCGCCGATAAATAGAGAACAACGTGATCATTCCATACCTAGATTGGCAGAATCCCAAAATAATCGATTGCACCGTAGCTTTTTCAACTGTCACGACAGCACTACAGAGTATGCTACATTACGGGTTGGTCTAGCACATCATATATTACGGGATAAACGGTGGATCGAGGTTGTGGTAGTGGATAGCAATAATCGTCAAATAAGCGGGACCAGCGGCGAAAACGAAGGTCTACATCACAAAAGTCCAGCCGTAAAGGCTTTTAATAGTAGCTCCCATATTTTCGACACCCACGAAGCAGACAATCAGAAAACTATTACAGAGCAAGCTGACGACGCCGCTAGCGTAGGGGAACGTACTGACTGTGTCGACGAACATGACCCGAACTGTGATCTGGAAAGCGCTCGCAATGAGGACAATTGAGCGTAACTGGTAAATGAACATGCCGTATAACCAAAACTATTAATTACAGCTACTATTTAATTCTACTTCATTATAACTACTTTAACAGTATCTGATGGCAGTGCTACTGATATTGTAGTCACGTCGTATATGCGATACATTAAATATATTGACGAGCTTAATGTAGTTTGGACACAGACAAAAAAAAAAACAATTCCTAATACAAATACCTAATAGAGGAATAAAGTGCTGGAATAAGATACCAATAACACAGCACGTTTGTTTATTTTATAATACGAAGATATATACATATAAATCATCATACGACAGAATCGGTTCTATCATTAATATACAGAGCATCAAACAGCAGTGGTCTGACTCGTCAAATATAACTAGGATGAGGTATCTAACTAGCACATCACCACTGTCAAATATATACCTCTTCGTTTGCAAACTCTCAGGTTATCACTGATTTTCACCTTAGTATTTGCAATATCATACACTGCTTCCAATTCTAGGAAGGTCTTAATATTCCCGCTTCTATCAGGAAGATTGTGAATGACAACCATTCAATCAATATTGGACTCTCCGGACGACATCTCACATTCGCTGCTTGTTAACATAATATCTAAGAATGAACAATAAGTAATTTGTTAGCTAAAGGCAACCTTATAGAGTAAAACAAATATCACTTTAGTTCAGCGAGTATGTGCCCTTTTCATGTTACTAGTAAGCACTGAATTTCGGCGATTTTATATTGAATTGCTAACTTTTGAACTTCATAATTGTAGAAATATGAACAAAAGGACAAATTGTAGAAATATGAACAAACGGACAGTCCAACGAAATTCAGCGATAAAAAAGAAAACGTTAGAGATCTGTTCCTTCGCATCCATCGTTGGACAATTTGTTTAGCAAGTTGTTATACAGCAATCTGTTAAAAAACGCTAATAAAACCGACTTAGGGTTCAAGTCGCATTCTAACACATGCTCAGATACTCGGCACCACTACGCGTCTTTTTCGTATTTTCCTTGTGAATGATCTACAGATCTCTAATCACTTTGACTTCTACTCCTGTTTCTCACAGTATACCAAGAAAACACCAAGCAATACTTTTTATGCATTTAGTAGACGTTGGTGTGCTATTAGCGAGTTTTTGTCGCTTCAGCTCAGCTTAGTAGAATAAAAGCTAAAAATCACGATTGTGAAGGCTGTGCCGGTGTCACACAGCATGGCTCGAAATAAAGCCAGACGGTAGGAGTGCTCATCAGTCAATACATGCAGTTTCTTCAATTGACAGCTAGTCGATTTCATCTACCACTACAGAAATTGAGCAAGCAGCCGACCAGAAGCTTGAAAGATGAAAGCGCTCCGTTAGTGAAGTAGATTCGCTTGTTAAAACGATCGTCTCAGCCCTACTACTTTTCCCACTTTTCATGTTGCAGAACAAATAGTATAGTTTTTTCTACATTTCACGTGTTTATTTCTCTCCCAAATGTCACTGACCAGAACGTATGTAAAAGCTCCTATTACTTAAGCGTCTCATTCAACAACAGCCATACTTAGACACGTACACATTCAAGTACTCCTCTAAGATATTATAAAGATTATTTCTATTAATACGTAATATATTTGTTTTCACTTTTGTCCGTTTCTAATCTGTCCTTACTCTGGCTAGGTTTCCGCATATATTCAATCGCTTTTCAAATTATTTACCCTTCTCTTTATGTGCGAACAATTAACTCGTAAACCTTGGCCATTCCGAAAGTATCCTTACGTACTCCTCCCGGAATCAATTGGAATATTCCTAACTCTGAGTGCGCCTGAGGGGCATAGTACGTCTGCGTGTCCCTCCAACGTATGCGACGAATTCGGTCCATGTTATTGTATAGGGTGTTTGCGTGTCTTATTGTAGTTCATTATTGCGAATTTTTTCCTTCCTCATATTGTTACAAGGTTTCCTACGTGATTCCATGCGTCTTGTTCTGTCATTGTCCTGCAGCTATTAAATTACTCACGCGTCCTCTTCCACCTTTAACCATCGCTAATTTAAAGGTCTTTCGTGAGGGCTTCACTCCGGTGTACCTCACAACTGAAGAATAGTTTCTGCTGCGGCCCACACACATGTATCTGGAGCGGTGTTTTTCTCTTTTTGGGTAACTCGAGCTCCAATCTAGCTTCTCAATTATTTGTTACTGTTACCTAAGTACTAATTTAAGATCCTAAGCTGGCTAAAACCTAGCCTCGGAACCACGAGAACCATCCTTGAGGCTGAGGAGCTTGTTCTTCTGCCCGTAGAGTTACCAGACCCTCCACCCGAGACGCGACATTTTTCGCTCCTGTTGCAATATCATCGACAGAGTGTTTTAATTCGCCGATCTCCTCCTTGATTTTTGATATGACTAGTTCCATTGCTTGCCGGCCCTATGAAATGGATCAGACAAATGTAAAAAAAATCTTGTAGAGTCATCGTTTGCACAAAGGTATCCATAGGTACGCATATTTAACGTATCTGCATTTATATCCATTGCATTTTCAAAAATCTATCTCAAAAAACCGACACCACGTTATGCCTACAAAAAATAGCTGGGCATTCTGAATAAACTATATTAGATATTAAGTGAGTCTATATATTCAGAGAGTAGGATAAATAATCGAACAAATGCAACAATTGTGTGGTGTACAATATCAGTACATGGTACCCGTGATAGAGCATCTATGAGGCCACTTGTATTGCTGTAATCCATTCTTTTAGCTTGCCACAATAATTTTACAAGTAAAGGATCAGAGGAAGATTCTTTTATCATGGTCAAGTGTGGTACGAATTTCACCAAATTGGCCTTGAGATTTTGCATATTCGCAATAACATATTTAATAACGATATTTTGGCATATCTGAAGTAGTTTTCTTCGATTGCTTCGATAAGTAATTAGGTAAGTACCTTTGTAGCATTGTTGGAAATAGATCCCGCGATGAAACTCTCGAGATGGCTGCTAAGGGGCACTCCCTGAATAGTCACAACGGCCTCCTGTGTCATCAAGGTACAGCCAGGCTGGGTCGGATGCTCGGTATACGTTAAGCGTTCAACGAGATTTAGTTCTTTGCTAAAATTCAACTGAAATAATAAGAATAATAATAATATATGCGTATAAATTTGCTATGATCCTTTTAATCAAGCTATATGCCCGTGAATTTTTAAATGTTGGTGGTCCTAACACGCCATGTAAATAATTGTGCATATTTTAATTTAGCTAGTTAATAAACTTGTAAGCGATTACACCATGAGTTAGACAATTAGCGCGCGAATTTTTACAACATTATTGTAACCTACTATTGACTGTCTTCTTTTTTTACTATATTATGTTACAACATTCCTCGATCAGTATGAGGTGGCATTAGGGAACGACGAAAGCAAAGGTAAACTATCTTAATGCAAAGGTGAATTCATATGAATGAAAGGTAAAATTAAAGTTTGGCAACTAGCGAAATCCAGTAAGTAATGTCACTATTTAGTTTTATCAAATCTGGCAGTTACGCCAACAACGAAAAAACGACACTCAAAATGTCAAACCGAGGCTGTACTTCGGGGTACTCATCTGAATTAAGATATATGCCGTCAAGTAACCACGATAATAGCGAGTGAGTAGACCTCACAGAATGCTTTCATTCAAACGCAGCTTACGAAGTACTTGCGAACCTTTCAAAGTTACTTAATTACAGTAAAAGTTACCAGCAGCCGCAGGACCACTAGATCTTATAGATTCACCAAAACAGGAATACGTGTTCTTTTGTATCAAAGTACAGCGACCCGACGGTCAGCTAGCAGTTGTCCTAAAAGTTGGCCTTCAAAATGCCCGTTAAAGGGCTTTTTGTGCGTAACGAGTCATGTCTAAACAAAGCCAAAAATCGCCATAATCGTAAAGAAAAAATACGATAAAAACAGAACTAAACAATAGTTTTGCAATACGATTACATAGAGACATACACATGGGAGAAGTAAATACGTATGTGAGATCTTTCTTTTGTGAGGCTTTAGATTTTCCGGTATTAACGTTCCCAAATATGATGCACGGTAAAGACATACAAAATCTTTTGGGATTTCGCATTCTAACGCTCTAGTTAACTAACTGTAAAATAACACAATGTTTAAATTTGCTATCATATACTAGCTTCCACTGGTATTATGAATAACCTCATATCAGTATCACATGTAACACACGTACATGAAAAGGCACTTACATTTTTTGACATCATCGTCATGACCTTTTTCTCAGGATCGACAACAGAATGTTCACTTGCATAACCCAACTTATCACGCCCAAACACCTGAGATAAAGTAAACGTTAAGAGAAAATAAAGACAAAACAAGAGACAATGAAACAATAATGATAAAATTTACGTTAAATCTGTAAAATGCAATTTCCGTTTGAAATTGGCGCCCATGTAGTATGCAGTACTTCTATAATTATTATTACGAGCGTTTCTCTTTTATGTGATCTTCAACTGTGCTAAACAAATGTGTAGACGCGAGGGACAGGTACACCGTGATTCCAGTAGTAGCATACAAAATGCTATTCTATATACATATGTAAAATATGTATCCTAAAGTTGAAAGCAAAGCTTCTGTAAATTGCTTTCCGGCATATTAGGACACTAACCGGCCGGGCCCAAGCGGGAACGCCCCATTTCGTCGTGATGAGCCTATGAGAATGCAGCTGGCCTCCGTGAACGTTCCGATCAACGATGTCAATCGCTACCACTGAAGGGTTCAAGGGATTCGGATATTTTCTCCACGCAGCCTGCGTCACAACCTCCCATGGGTGGCTGATAACCGAATAAAAAAACAGGCAAGCTATAAGACATCGCCTATGTAATCGTAACAATAAATGTATAAACTATAGATTTCGATTCTGTTTGCCGCCTTTCCGATAAAGACACATTATTAGTACTTCTCTGCAATGGCTATAAAACGTGCTCATTTCCAGTCAATAAATAATATAATATAAACTGTGTAAACATTCGTGCAAAGTATGTAAAGAACTCTCGTGTATTCAAAACAAAAAAAGATTTCCTAGGTTTTGCTCGTGTCTTGCCACTATGGCGAGCTATCCGAGCCTGGCTGTCGGATTTTAATTGTACCTAGGCTGTAAATCTTAGAAAAACGATCAAAAATTCATGGGCATCAATTTCTCTCAAATAGTTTTAACTACAAAACAAAAACTGCGCATAATCACATATCGTTGCCGCGAACTTATAGAACATATGGTGCAAAGATAAAATAGATTTATTAACCCTACTATACCCTATACCAAACCTAACCCTAAACGAGTTATATTTTAAAAGCTTTTTGCAAACTAATGTTTCCTAGCGATGAGACTGATTTTTATTCGACAGATATTTACTCAGCATCACTCCACTAAGCGCCAGCATTTTATTACAATAATAGCATCTCGAGTTGCTTCTCTTACCAAAGAAGCACATGTCTATATATAATGTTCTAAAACAAAAACGACCGTACGTAATTTTGTTCCAAGCGACATTCACTACTGCACCGTCAACAAGTTGCATTGTGGAACCTCTGCACCACCGTCGGCTATCGATCAGCCCATTCTAATGCGAAATAAAAACTGCTCTCTCCAGTGGCGTCATCTGTCTCCTGCCACCGATAATGCTTCCTCCGGTGCAGTTATGTTAAATTTAGCAGTAATGCTTTTCGTACTCAGAATTTTGAGGAACTTCTATTGAGCTGCACAGTGCATTTAAATCATAGGAGTGAATACTTCTCACTCTATGATTGTTTCTAAGTGCGTAGGGGTGTGCACGTAAAGGCTCATATGGGGTTCTCTAGTAATGCTTTGCCAGTGACCGTTGGCCACTTCAGATGCGCATTGTAGTTCGCACAACGCAGCTTTTTCTGCAGGTTTAATTTGGAGCAGTAATTTTAGAAGGTTCGTTCAACACTAGAAATCCCCGTGTCCTCTTGAGCCCGTGATAAGATCTCGAATACGCTCTCTGATGTAAGGTTTGATATGTATAGAACGTAGTGGAATGATTAGTTGTGACCCTTGAGCTCGAACAGGTCAAAACGAAAGACTAAAGGTCATAAAAATTTAAAAAAAAAACGATCACATTAAGTCACACAATTGTTTTTAAGTTAATTTATCGCTATAAATAACATGCACCATGAATACGGCACTAAAATGTGCATTTAGTGTTAAGTGTATCTAGAACAACAATGAGTTTCGAAAATGAAAGTAATACTTGATATAATTCTCTGATGATACTGCAAACCTAGTAAAACAGGATAAATGTTTACTACACTGGTAGAAGTAGTCCTTAGTGCATGAGAAAATTTAATTCCAATAACTTGGTCATTGTTTTGCACGCAGTAACAATTTGACATTAAATTATATCGAATTTGGATTAGGATCTTGTTAATGCCAATCGTGATAGAACATAATGCGCTGAGTTATCGGAGTTATTAAGTAAACTGCTTTGATCTTATTATGAAGCGACTACGTAACTCATATGTCGAGTTACTCTTTTATCCTCAAGCTGTTGATGTTTGCTAATGGGCCAAAACTCGTAAGTACCCTGCCCTTTCCTTCACTTTCGGTTGTCTGGATATCTGACCTGCCTGAAAAAATCGTTGGACCAAGACGGGGCACCGTTTTTCAGCGTACGGGAAAAGCATGCAAGCTTACATCACTGTTCTCTGTGTACAGTCATTTTCTCATTGGTTCCACGTTAAGTTTGATCATCAGGCTAAAGCTCCAAAGGAACACGAAGAATAAGGCTAAAATTTGAATAGTTAATTCTCGAATCTTGATTGTAATCCCACTCGGTATTATATAATTTAAAAAAATCTTTGCTTCTAAGTAAACTCATGACCAACTAAGACCTACATGCTATATTCAATATAACGAAATATAATGAGAATGCCCATGTATGTTTGACCGAATTCATACAGAGCACTCCGAATCATCTAGCCTTTTTCACCTGTGACAGGAATTGCTACCCCAGCAACGTAGCATTCTCTTTATATATGAAATATATGAAAAAATTAGTGAAATGTTCGGATACATTCGCTTGCAGATGACCTGCGCTCAAGCTGCTCTATGAAAAACAAAGAAAGAAAAGTAAGTACTAGTAGTTAGATTATTGTTATAACCAATTTCGCTACAAAAAGTTAGCTTCAATAGAGGTCTTCTGAGAATATTTTATATAATTCGTCACCCCGCAGATGGCGTAATTACGGAAGTGGTATAGTGGCTACAACCGTATACTAGGCTCTGATAGCGTCACGTTACTTTACACTTAACATGTCTGCACTCTTGTGCCTTACTGAGAGTGGACTACCCTACTCTGACTTACAGCAGGTTGATAATGCTACCGGAAACGTTTAGCTTCGCCAAACCCTCGCCAATACTATTGTCTAATCAGCCATAAGCGAAAGCCGCTTGATAAGAACACCGTCGACCATACAAACGTGCTTGTTAGTCACGCTATATGTTCGGACAAAATGTAGCACTCGAAGACGTTTAAATTACTGATATGCGAGTTTACTAGAACAAGAACACCATATAGAAACAAATTGTTCCAGACCCCGTACCCATGCAGTGGTCACCCTCAATATGCCACATGTGACTCCCGCATCGTGACGTTAAAGCTGAAATAAAATAAGGCACTGCTACTCACTTAAAGGTATGCTCTGACGTCCAAATTTTCATGATGATTACACGTTCCAAAAATTGTGACACTTCACTTAGAGAATCACCGCACACTGATCTAAATTAACACCGAACCCAACAGTCGTTCTCTTATCGAGTGTCTTTCGTTAACGTGGAGCTCATGGATAGCAAGAGGAGCAATGGATTTCGGCGCACCCGAAACCGGCTGGAGCAGCTCTCGAAACTTCTTCTAATAAGAATAATAGCAGGGCCAATACTACTTATCACTGGACACAGAGAGGTTGCCTTTACGTTAAATACAGACTCACACACTGCACAACGCTCAGCGGGGGTCTGCTCGCTTGCTCCCTCCCTTATTTGAGCAGGGCTTACGAGTACGAAATAAAATACTGCTCACAGCCAACCTCTTCCTCCCACAGGCGAACGACACTGTTTAGCAAGGTCTCGACACGAAGAATCATCTCTACACTTATCGGCGACCGGCGGCAAAGTGGAGAGAGTTCCCTTTTTCAAAACGTGTGGCGCGCAAAGTGTGAGCTATATTTCCATTCGTTTGTGCCAACCAAAAGTTTAGGTGGTAAATACCTATGTAAAAAATGAGCGTAAAAGTCAAGTAAGAAACAATTGCTGTATTCATATAATAAAAATATAACACAGCACAGACACAGATTACTCTAGAGGCTGGGTTATGACGAAACAAGCACATTTCATACACTTCTCTGCTAAAAATCACGTGAAACTATATAATGGCAATTAAATCAAAGTTCTGAAAGTACGTCTGCTAACGAGTTGTCATATGTAGCATATGAATTAAAAGTGTTAAGTAAATTTTTTGGGGGAATTGCGACGTTCCGATGTTGTAAACGTAATCAAATCAATCAATGTCAACCTCCTAGCCCTATAACACATCTAACGCATTAGAACAAATATATATCTTCTTTTCCTAGAACTCCACATTTCAACTTAGATTCCTAATAACAAATTGAGAAAAATTTCTTTTTCTAAAGAGTTAGGGAAAAACTTCAACTTCATCTACATTCGCAAAATTCGATGAAGTGTACAATTTTTTTTTGTATTTGAAATAATCAATCAAGGAACTATAGAGTTTGGAAGTTAGTATATGCCTCCCTGGAAAAAGATGTTAATTGAACTTGAGAGCAAACATTTTCGGCTATATCGTGACATCTACTAGATATTCTCTCATATGTGAACCTTTTATGGCAATTTAGTCTAGACTGACTCGCAATAATTGAGAAATTACCTACAGTGCATTATATCGACTACAGAAGAATCATTAAGCATTGTTGACACACAATAGCTTCCCGCAGTGCAAAGTTTAATCATCGAATCCATCATTGCTTACGTGGAAATATTTACACAATTATCTTAAAACGAAGCTCATTTAGATATATTGCTGTCGTCGACTTTGGTTTACACTCTCAAGTAAAGGAGACACCCGATTACCTTTGGCGTTCACAAAAAATTTCAAATTCTTGTACAGAATATTTGCCGTGCTCAAGAGTGCTCTCAACAACTGGTATAAAATAATTAAGGTGCTTGCTAGAAGATAGTAAATTTAACGTATTTAGTGTACCCCACTGTCCCTCCGTATGAACTTCTAAGATTTTTTAAAGCACCAATATTGTAGGTAATTTCCTGCCCGACCTTTTTGCAACGTCCGTGACGTACAACTAATCGAGTTCATGAAAGTCAACCAATAAGCTGCTTTTCAGGAGTTTTGCAAATTTCGCTACGCCTTTCATTGTCCTGAATGCAGTCGATGAAGTAGATGAAGCGGGATTGCACATATCTCGTTGTGGTAAAAAAGGTTTTAAAAGTTTGCATATTTTCGACCAGGCTTATCCCCGTATTGTTAGATAGAAATTTGTTCGAAATCGACGATCGTCTTCATAAAGCTTTGGCCCACAATGGTTGATCCTAGTTTCATAAAAGAAATTAGTTCTATTAAATTTGTCTCGCTATATTGCCTTCGTCTGGATCTGTTTGCTATCAGTGTGGACCCCATCAGCCTTTACCTTCAGTCGACGAATTCAGTCTTGATAGACAACTTACATAGATACCAACGGTTACCTGTATTGCTTGAGGATGAATAGTACGTTGACTGTTATCCAGAGCACGAGGTGGTTGGTGTCGAACACCGTGTGCTCTGACATGCCAGTTTGTCGCATGTTTGCAGCTAATGATCACGTCAAAGTTATCTTTTGTTGATCTTCGGTTATAATCCAATGGTAAAGTACTTGTTACATACTGTTTGCACACAAAGGTTGCGTTAAATACCGCAAATTTTAAATAAAGATATTACTGTTACAGTAGTGGCATAGTGACAAGCCGCATAACGACATTGCAATGAATCAGTTGTAGGATACCAAACGCCCTGTAAAATAGCTTCAAAAGTAGCATGAAATTATATACACACATACATATACTTTGATGTTGCTTTCAATAATAATGTCGAGTTTCTTAAATCAATTAGCTGAATCAATTATGATATAATTTGAAAACAGTTGCTACCACACAGGTTACTAAGTTCTTTTTATACGTTCCGTTTCAGGAAGATCGAGAAAAACTACGGCCTAATACGGCTGTATATGCATTAGCCTTCGACGCTCGTTCAGGCCTTTAGTTTCTCATCTATGTAGAAGATATGTTGGAGAGAGACTTGCTGCACTAAATGTATAGGTATCATTTTTCAGTAGTACTTGCGACCGGAACTTGCTGTTGCAGTATGAACTGTGGTTTTCTTGATTCGCGTCTATCATCTGAATTTAGAGTTTCTTTAGCATTAGTAGTACCAACGGTGTGACTATAATCCATCCCAGATCTAACAAAAAACTGGCAGAGAGCACAACATTAACTCTAATAAAAGGTAAGACGCTAGGAAATCTTAATGTTGATAAGACATAATTAACTATACAACTATACATATATATATATATATGTAATACACAATATAATATATAGTATGATACTTGTGTGCCGATGAGCTTAAGCAGCTTAAATGTATATTCTTCATGACACAAAGTAAATTCCTGTTTTTTCAACTAATCGAGAAATCTTGAGTTTTGTATAAGTATTTAGTCATGACAGTAAGGCGCTTAAAAATGGGTTATAGAGCTATCCTCCAAACAAAGACAAGGCCTTAGGTACAAGCTCCTGTGTGGAATCGACCCATTTTTAATCACTGATGATAACTCGGGTTTAATCGAGATCATTTTCTATGGAGCCGTCGTTTGCAAAAACATATATACATTTGAGCTGCTTAAGCCCATCGGCACACAGAAAAAGAAAACTTAATTATGTTATTATTGTTATTCATATGCTATAACTTGCCTTTGATATCTAAAATATTAAATAATGAGAAAACTGGCAATCCGAAAACTTCGAGGTCATTTAAGAGCGCAAAACTATAAGCATGCAGTAACAGTATTCATAATAGTTAGAACCCTATACTGTTAAATCAAAGTTTTTAGATACATATATATACAAAAAATATATGTAGTCAGTAAACGCTTAGAAATGTTTCAAATTGTTTGCGCATAGCTTTTATAAGTAATCATAGGTAAAAACTATATAGCTGGAAAAGAACTTACTAAAAAAATGTGACAACTGTTTGCGTAGGCAAACTTTCCGTACGGCCTGTAGTGAGCATATATTGTTTTGTATATATGCTGCGATCCTAATTGTTACTGTACAGTCGAGTGATACTATCAGGTCAGTCACAGTTCTAGTAATTATAGTTGATTGGTTTTGACATTACTCCTCTACAGACCGATGTATTTTTTACTTGCAACAAACTGTCAAAAAAGGCAGACCTACAGATACATATATATGAACAGACAAAATGTTTCACAATTATTGCGAAGCAAATTCGATCTTTGCTCAATCCTCAATGCGACACTCTACGAATTAGCAAAAAAATGATTTATTGTATTTGAAAGATAAAAGGTAAAGTATAACGAGGTCTTTCATTTGTGCTTATGTTCTTGGTATTCTCAGGAGATTTTTTCAGATAAATTTGTATTCTACTACCTGCATAGCTGCCGCAGCATCCATGACTCGTCGTAGAGTATTGGGATGCGCTCGGTTTTTTTTTGATTTAAGGGTCCACGGAGTTATTCGTTTGACGTATTTGCATATAGTTGTTAGACCTTTATGTCGGCGAGCCTGATAGGCAGAAATAGAATAGCCACACATTGCCTTGTCCGAATTTTTTAAAATTTGTTGTCTCATAAAAATAACTGATAGACGATTCGAAAGATCCCAGCATTTGTAGTGTGTTTCTTCATTGTTTCTCTGTCTCTAATGGACAAAGCTGGTTCGTACCGCCATAGATTGGCACTATTTTCGAAATCTCTGAGTCAATATTTAGCCTACCGGCGACTCCATTGCGGAGGCTTACTTGCTATGTATGACTTGATACGAAGTTTTGCTGTTGGTAGACAAAATTTATGTGAAACAGTGAAATTTCTGTCCACCTTTAAGCCATTTATAATGATTTCCAAGGCCTAATTTTTCTGTTCCATACTATCACTGCGACTTTTCATCTGAAATTGTATATGTTAAAAATCATGTCAATATTATACCATGTTAAGCATAAGGTTAAGAATAAGAACTGTTATAGGGTGACCCTCTAAAGGCATGGGCAAGGCAAACATTTACTGCATTCATTTTTCCTGTATATTAATATTCTTCTGTTATATGTTCGTTACCCTATTTATAAAAGGCCGCGTATCAATGAATAACTAACATATTTTTATAGATTGTTTGTGGTAAAGATTCGTTCTCTGAGGAAACGCCTAACGGCAGTATCGGACGTGAAGGACTGACACGAAGCATTGACTTTGATTCATAAATTGTATTTAGATTGCCTAAAATTTTGCACGTGCGCGCATTCGCATTATTCAAAACCATCCGACTATCTCCCTATTTGTCTATCGCCTACAATATCTGTGCCCCCTGGCGGACCGCCTTCAAAACACCCGGGCACATTACATAGTCAAGTTTGCGTCGCCGTTGTCTCTTGCAGCCGTTCGTTGACCTTGGCAACTAGTAGGGTATTCGACAGCGGGATCCCCACTCTGCATTTGTTTGCCATTTTGTTTGTCCGTTTTTGATGTTGATATCTCGCCTTTTATATGTTAGTAGGTTGGTTATCTTTCTTTCGTCGCCTCGTCTCTCACAGTCGTCACTGTACTTTGGCCATTAACAGTGGTGGCGCTAGTATCGGCCCTGTCGCTGCCGCCATTAGTGCGCACCAGCGCTCGAGCACTGCTGAGTCGATCAACGAACAGGTCGGAGCCGTGCTCATGTTTAGCGAGCGACGGCGGGCAAGATCGTCTGCTTGTTCCCCGCTATTCAGACACATTTTTTCTTCATCTTCACTGCTTTCATAAGAGTCGCTAGTTGTTGGTCAGGGCGAATGGTGTGTGGTGTGTCGGTGTCTGCGCGCCGTCCGTCAGACCGTGTCCCTGTTGGGTGCGCACGACCCAAATCATCGGTGTTGTCTGCATTAGCAGCACAGACAACAGCAGCAGCAGCATTGCTGTGGCCTGCCTCTGGGCTACGGCCGTCGAACGAGCTCAGTAGCAGTGGCAGCGCCAGTAAGCTGTCGGTCGTCGTGTTGTGTGAGTGAACGAGGTGTGAACATCGTTCACCACCGTTTGCTTCGAGATCATGCCCCTGGCCCCCCCGGATAACATCCGCGCCGTTGCGGCCCGGCCAGTAACGCTTCGTCCTTAGATCCCCGGCCACGCTTTTGGAGCTAATCCAGCCAAATTAACTATTACCATAAGCCATTATCTATCGCCCACCACCTTCATCATCATCACTTAGCTGGCTGGCTGGCTAGCTAGCTGGCTGGCTGGCTGGCTGGCTGGCTAGCACATCACCGTCAGCAGCTGGTCGAACTGGCAGCGGCGACGGTGTACGCAGGAAGCAGCAGTAACAACGAGTACAGTCGAACCCACTGCTCCAAGACTTCCGTTCAAGTGAGTACATGCATAGAAATGTGTCTTAGATATATGGTATTATGTGGATAGATGAGTCGCTCTTATGCCATTCAACGAATCCCAGTCAATGTTAGATATTGCAATTGGCAAACCCATCTTCTTATTTGCTTTCTTGCCCGGCTGCCTGTCGGCCTGCACCTCCTCAGATGAACCTGCAAAAGCAGTGGTAGCAGTATAACTAGTGTGTTCTAGGAAATAGGCGGAAACAAATATATATGGCGCAATAATGACGCAGTTACGAATTCCGCATTGGAAATAGTTTGTCTGTTTATAATAGCAGGCAAAGCTATCAACACCTAATGTGTGATAGGATTAACTCATTTCCTCGCAGAACATGATGAAAGCTACTGCAAACGACTAGAAAGATAAACATTTATTATATTTATGAAATTATACGTTCAGAATCATAGGTAAAAGCAAGGCACTACATGAACCTTTACATCAAATCGTATAGCAGGTTGTTAATGATGCGAGAGAATAGATACAGGCAGGTCGTCTACAGAAATGGCGCTAAGCGCTACAGATCCACTCGTTCTCCAACGAGTGATGGCAGGCTGACGACGACTATTTGGCGACAGCGCTCAGTGTAGAAGTACGAGTTCTAGCAACTGCGGCACGGGGCAGTCGATGGTGCGGTCCTGCTGCTGTTATCGGTTGTGGTTGTTGTTGTTGTTGTCGTCGTCGTCGTCGTTAAGCAACGATGCCTCGTGTCGGACCGCCACCAGTGGCCTGTTTTTCCCAACAGTACGCGTAGGGGTTATGTGGCTTCTTCGTCGTAAAGTGAATGAATGTGCGGATGAAGTTCTGCTTCGGCGGACGGACAGAAGGAAGATTAGAAACAAAGATGGATATGAATCCATCGCTCGTGGGGGAGGTTTTGTGCTTATGATCGTGCTTGCCATAGTACCACTGCCACTGAGAATCAACCTAAGAACGAGGTCAGTGTGTATGTGAAGCTACCATTTATTGTGTTTGCTTAATGCTCCATATATATGATTATTGAAACTAGGAAAAAATTTATGGGTGGAAATACTGTTCTGTCTATCCCGAATCCCGTATGAACGAAGTACAGTGCCACTGTGTGCAATTTGTGCGGTTAAACGAAGAAACGACACGTTTGGATTTCATTTCATTACATTTGGATATGTGAACGTACAGTCGACGCTGATGCGTGTCTGGGTGAGTGCAAGGCAAGATTAGAAAAGCTGGGAGAACTAGGTGGCCGAAATTCGCAACCGAAAATGGCCGACTAGTCCTTTTTGTCACCTGTGTATTATTGGATTATTCTGACGGCAATACTAGAGAGGAAAAAGTGAAGTCTGTGTAGAGAGAAAGAGCCGAAGAGGGTCTGTCTCCGGACCACCTAGAAACATCTTTATGTTACGTTCAGCTGTTGCAAACATATTACAACCTCATCGATGTGACAAGCCATCGCTCGCCGGCTGTTGTCGGGGCATCGTGTTACTTGACTACGGAGTTACAAAACTATCTAAAGCCATCTATCGAAGTAATTGCAGCTATAAGAAGTCCTCTGAGCTACCATCAAGTCGCCTATGATCTCGTCCTAGAGCTCAACTCCTGTTATATTGTGTCTAGTAGCCGACGGTGGTAATCAGAAACGCGGCTATCCATGCCTGTTCGATGTAATTCAGCCTATTGTCGCTCAGCTGAGCGGCCCATCCCGGACGCTACTGTATTCACCGAGCGACATTAGCGAATGCGATCGAACTGACAGGCCATTCATTGTATAGCCCTTCTACCGTGGCCATTGCGTAGTTCTTCATGCGTGCAACTCCACCGCACGCGTCAAGGCTGTGCTCCAACATTAGATAGGGGAAGAACAAAACGCGACCGAGAACTGTCTAAATACATATCCATGAGATTTGATATATTTTTTGAGTATAAATGGAACTAATTGTTAACAAAATTGGCTTTACATCTTCCTTCATTTAGCAGTTATAAATTGATACGGGTAAGGGAGGTTTATTATGTGTATGTAGACTGATGGTTATGATGATTTACGATCGACGGATGCGTCCGTCGCCGCTGGCGTCGCAATGGATTTGGCCAAGATATTTATGAATATCTAAGTCACAGTTGTTGGTAGCCTTGAAGCGATTCTCATCTTTTTTCTGGTTTCATCAGTTTTGTGTACGCCAACGCAGAAACGCTGCGGCTAGCCTAGTAGCGGACGAAAATGCCAAAATCGTGGCAGCAGGTGGGCCATCGGCGACGCCATTATTCAGTAGGAGATGTAAACCTGCATTGTCGCGTAACGTGCAGTTCTCATCCGTGCTGAAAAAACTGATACCATTATATACAAGCCTTTCACGTTGAAGATTTAGGATCATAATCATAGTTGTCATTTCTAGCTCTCGTTAGCTGGAAGTACAATGTGTGCTCACACGGATGCATGTGATACACCTCATCTAGATATATGGTTCAAATGGTCGTGTCAGTTAGCATCTTCAATATAGAAAACGAATATTAAATCGGGCTGAGTCATTACATATATTATTATATAATTAATGATTGCTGATAAATTTGACTTAACGATTATACGGTAACCTTCCACACACCTTTTACTTTTATAGATGGTATGGCGGCACTCGGACAGCGGAAAGTTTCTTATCTGGATTACGGCTGGTCAGACAGTCGCCAAGGTGGTGAAGGTTTGTCCAAACGTGTGAATGCTCATATTTCTTTTCTTGCAAGGTGATTCGCTGGCTTCTGTCCAGCTGCTATCTCGATCGATAATGGCGGCTATGAAACTCACTGAGTCATTCGCTTCGAGACAAAATGCCCGTGGAAAGTGAAAACGACAGCTCCTACTTACACGTGTACATTTCTTTGCCACCCAGTAAAGTCAAAATAGTGCCCTCTATGGCAAAATAATCCCTTTATGCGCCTGCATTGACGCATATAAGGGAATAAAATATATCCATTTTATTGTTATGTGTGAACAAGACCCGGAAAAGAGGTGGAGATTCGAACTGCAGACAACTTCCCGAGCGGTGGCCTGGGGCACTGTTATTGGATGACGTAAGCCAACAGCATCTTTACATCTTTTGCTCAAAGCGGTGCTCTTTAACCAAGTGCAGCACCCGCGTTCGTTGCGGATGTCATTTCCGTTTTCGCCTCGTCAGAGCATCTCAGAATAGCGTATTGCTATTCTGCATTGTTTATTCGTTTAATAGGAAGGTTATGGTATATACCAATCAAATTCAACTTGCTACATCTCACTGGAGCAGCAATATTATGCTGTGAAAAATCTGTAGATGTACGTCGATGGCGTGGTTGCCTTTGGCACAGCTATTCAGCCAGCTATCGATGGAGTAAGTTGACTAGCTTTGGGCACCCTCTTATTAATTGTTATCCTCATTAAAGAGACGGCATTTAAAGTAAAACTACTTTCCACTGCTGTAACAACGATCGACAGAACCGGCGATGGGCCCCACTAAGCTGGACAATGATGGCTGGGTCCACAGCTACGATTCGATTAGACTAATCGCGCTGATGGTAACAGACGTCTAGTTTGCATTCAGTAAGTTTGTATTTAACACTGAACGGTGTTAATTCATTCCGTAATACTTTTTTTTATCGGTAGTCACTTTCCTATCGACCCATTGTTGAGCTCATTGTTGCTATGCTAGCAAATCTTTAAGCTGAATTGCTCTAACTAGGTTAAATTGAACCTCTGTAAGCGATGTTTTCAAATGTGTACGAGCTGATATTTCTTGTTTAGCTATTAATGACGTCGGTACTTAAATATTTGCGATACTAGGCACATCCACAGACAGAACGGACATCCTAAAATTGGCCAATGGAGTTTTTTACGCGGATTTTACCGAAAAGAGTTACCGTGCTACAACTCGATACCAACGGTTCTGCATATGGGTAGTAGAATTATCAACGGGGCCATTATATGCAATTGGGAATATCGTAAAATTCCTTTCAGCAAAAAATATCGCACAATGCAGGTTTGACAAGGTTCATTTTTTCCGAACAGCTCGCCGTTGCCAAGCCAACGCTACCTCGCAGCTATTGTTGTTTCGCCAAAGACTAACCACTTAATATACTGCAGCATGTATGCTTTAAATAGCTAACGAAAATGTTTATTCAGTAAAAAAAAATGCGTTATGCAAAGTATCATAAGCAACTAATGTAATTTTTTTAACCGATAATCTGTCCACTACCGGCTTTTGTTGCCGTTCATGTTCTTTGCTTACTATTATATTGCCATTTGCCATGCCTCTTGTTTCTACAGCCGTTTTACCACCGGTAAGCTTTAATAAACATTAAGGTAAACATTACGAAGTGGTTCAACTGGCGGAGTCAAAGCGAACGGGCTGTGGCTATCATAGTAGAATCGTATAGGTGCGGGTTTAGTAGGAGGGCTAGCGACAAACGAAGCTTTTCTTCCTGCGTATTTAATAATGCTTGCCGGTTGGGCTAGCCATCCGCAATTTTTTTTTTAGCATCATCGGCAGCGGCGTTGAACGCCGGCTGTCGCAGCTGTTCGCGCTGGCTGTATTAGAGCACCGGCTGAGCGGATAGAGGTAAATCGAGCGATTGACGGAACGAAGAAACAAATGCTAGGTCAATAATCGCTCCCATATATCATTGTTGTTGCTGTTGTAAGGACCCTTAGCGTTGTTTTTGCTATTGTCATCGCTTATCGTGGACGAAACGTGATGATTTTGATTGAAACATCTGTTTCTACGACAATAGAAACTACGCAATTCCAGTTTAATATATCGTAAACTGACACAGTGTGGACTTCTTTTATACTAGAATTTACTAAAGCCGGGCCAAATACGGATGTAGACAACTCTCAAAGGTAAATTTAACTTGAGAAACTAATTTAGTATAATTTCATTTTGCACAAGTTGGCATTGTGGGAAAACGTTATGCCTTGCACGTGCGGTCCTCCTCCTTTGGAGAAAATCGACAGTCGACCAGCAATGTCTTTGACAGCT